CTTACAGTATTTGTAAGTTAAGTATAAAAATTTATTACAAAAGATTTTCATATCAAAAAATGTCATCTCAGTTTTAGAATCTTTTCTGTGTTGGATAGTTTAATATCTGTAGCCTGTAAAGTATCAAGTGGTGTAGCCTGTAAAGTATCAAGTGGGAAGATCTTTGCAAATGTGATGTAGGGACAGACTATATGATTGATCTAATCTGAAAGAAGATATTAAGAATCTTTATTTTTTTAGATTGGTGATAACAAAGGTATGCTTTTCTTGTATGTGAAGCTCCCAGAAGATTAGCTAATAAAATATTTCACAAGTGTTTTTCTGGTAATGTGAAAATTTTTGCAAAGGTATATAGAGTAGGAAGATACTCCAGATTGAGATACAGATTGACAAGTCCTAGTGTCTGCACAGTACTAAGGTTCTAGTAATGCAGAAATGAAAATCAGCACTTTATCTTTGATGATCTTTTTGCAAGTAGGGGAAATCCACCAGTAATAGGATGAGTTAAAAACTAAAAGAATAGAATACACAGGGTATAGCTGCATGAAATAGAAAAACTCTTGGTTCAACCTGGGTTTTGTATCTTAAAGGACTTTGTACCTGTTTCAAGGAGTTTGAAGTTCATCTCGAAGATGATTAACATGAATGACTACAGCTAAGCTAGGTTTAAGTTTTTGAAATAGAACTGTAATAAAAGTGGGATGGGTTTGATGGGTAGACTAGAGACTAACAATGAGGTCGCTAATGTAATCTGGGTGAGTTCTGAAGGCCAAAGATGTGATGGCCACTATGGCACATATGCCCTAGTTTGCCTTTTTCCTAAAGAATTCTCCATAGTGAGGAAACCTATTCTGGTGACAGGTGTTAGGGAGTAGAGGTAACATTTAATAAATATGGAAGTAGTAAACTATTCAGGAAATATTGAAAGATAAACTGTGGAACACTTAATACTTTTGTCTATTCCTGTAACTGAAAATTTAATTTTTAAACATTTTAAAGGTATCCTAGAATGTTCAGTTCTTATTGAAAGATGAGATTTCTAATAAGAGAATGATGCTGCTCTGTAGTATCACACAGTTCAATTCCTAAGCAGCATCAAAAGTGAAACTTTATGATTAAAATGTTTTTTAATGGATTTTGACAGTAATCAATTGTGTATAATACCAGAAAATTTGCCTTAAAAATAAAATTCACCTCCAAGTCTGAATCCAAAGGAAAACAATGCTAATAAAAATATTTTTTTTTCTTTAAATGATAGGTTGGGTGCCAGTAGAGAAAAACAACAAACAGTATTGTTGGCATTCCTCTGTAGTTAATTATGAATTTGAAATTGCCTTAGTACTGAAGCTTCATCCGGATGATCCTGGTCTTTTGGAAATTAGTGCAGTGCCTCTATCAGATCTCCTAGAACAAACACTGGAGCTAATAGGAACAAATATTAATGGAAATCCGTATGGTGAGTAAGCTCCTTGTTCCTGTTCAGTTTAGTAACAGCCATTTGTACAGAGTACTTCTTAGGGTCTGCTTAAAAGACACACTAAAGAAGTGACTAGCAAATTTGAGTTAAATAGCTTTCTAGGCCTAGCTGCTTTTGTTCACATTGTCCATGGAGTAACTTGTTCATGACTCTTAGATATTTGAGTAATTGAAAAAGTTGACTTTTGTGTCTCATTTTTTTTCCTGCAGTAATATTATAGAAATAAAAAAGGTAATTACTGAAGTATAACTTACTGCTCTTTAAAATTTAGGTGAAGGAATTCACTGAAAATATTGATGTCTTTTTCATGGCTAGGCATATAGTTTAGTATTAACAGCTAAGTGTAATATAGCTAATAATAAGCAATGAATAGCTTATCAGTTGTCAAAATACATATTATAATGAGTACAAATGTTGAGGGCATCATGGAATTATTTTTGATAGTGAGATGAAGACAGACCCAAAGACATGATTAATGAAGTCCTTATAAATACAGAGTAGACTGACTGGTGGAAAGAAGCTAAAGTAGTATTTACACAAGACTTAGCTCTTTGCAAACATAGATAATTCTTTGTGGCTAATAGTATGCAGCGGAGTTGGTGAATTTTTTCTGCAAAAGACTATTATGATAGAAAATACTTAGGTTATGTGAGCCAGACCTCTGAAGCAGGCCAGACAACCCTAAATGAATGGGTATGGCAGTATTCCAAGGCCAACTATTCAAAAAAACAGACATCTTGATGGATTTGTCTGTATATTATAGTTTGTTGATCCCTGGTATAGCTTATGAAGGTGGAATTTCTATGTAATGGGATTGAGTGAGAGCACTTGTAGTGTTATCTCTTCAAGGAAATTGACTAAATATTTTGGTAAGCAGTTTTAAAAGGCTTTTTTCTTATTCTTTCTGAAACCTTTAGCTAATGGCAGATTTTTACCATTTAGGGTTAGGAAGCAAGAAGTGTCCCTTACATCTTCTTATACCACATGGAGCATTTCAAATAAGAAATCTACCGACCTTGAGACACAATGATCTGTTGTCCTGGTTTGAAGGCTGCAGAGAGGGTAAAATTGAAGGAATAGTATGGCACTGCAATGATGGCTGCTTAATTAAGGTAATGGCCGAAGACAGCTTGTGTAATTTAGGTTTTATTTTCTTAAAGCACAGAAGTTGTACCAAAATACTTTTTACAAGTTGCAGTAATTCTGATTTGCAGTTAAGGCAATTTAATTTCGCATGCCGTCACTTTACATTATACAGCTGTTGTTTCCCAGTGTGCATGCTGTGGGGCTGTGGTCTGCTACATGTAAACTGAGGACAGTGTCTGGAAAACCCTGCTCACGACATACTCCCTTTTTGGAAATTCATGTTGCACATTAGTGCTAAGATACCCTGTACTTAGCTTAATGTAGTATTCCTCAGTATTACTTGATAATAGAATTTGAAGAGTAAAGAGCACCAAGATGACAGAATGAATTATTTTACATTTTGTGCCCTTTTCTATTCAGACTTGTCTATTTGATTTGTTACACATACCTGAAGTTTGTAATGCTCTAAACTGGACCTATTGTGTATCAGCTTTTCTGACTTCACTTGGAAAACAGTTTTACTCCCTTTTCCTGTTAGTTTGTTTAATTTGTTAAGTTCTTAGAGGTTAGAAGCTGTTGAATCTGTGTACCTTTCCTCAGTTGGTTTTTAATTTTAATATAAGCCAATATAATTGGCTTAATTCAGCTTGAATTATTTATCCTTCTAAACATTATCTTTCAATCTTATTCCTGTCCTTTCTTGTTATTCACAAATGAATGGAATGTTGCTTCCCCGCACATTGTGATACTAAGACATTTTTTCTTTAGTGCTATTAATGGTATTAAGTGATATTGAGAATCAGTGATACTTAGGATTTTTTTTTTTTTTTAAAGATTTATTTTTATGCACACAGACTGGGGTACAGGCCAGAGGCTCAGGGGCGGTGAGAGGCTTCACCAGAGACAGAGTGGGGAGCAGAACAGGCAGATCGACGAAGTACACTGCTGAGGGGAGCAGCGGGTGGGTCAGGAGAGGTCTGCCACACCATGTGGTCACCTCCGGGGCAGGCGGGAATCGAACTCATGCAGAAGCGGCTTTAGATTCTCAGTGCAGTGCTTTAACCTGCTGCGCCACCAGGAGGGTCCCGATACTTAGGATTTTTTATTATCTGGTCCTGCTTGACCTTCTGGAGCAGCCTCCCACCCCCAACTCCCAAATACACCAACAGGGTAATATTCTAACCATACTAAATATATTCAGATAATTGCCATCAGGGAGAAAAACATTGTTCTGTTATGTGCTCTTTTGGACTTTTCACTTTTTCAACTGGCTGCCTCTTGTACTCATCAGTGGACTCTATTATTCAAGAAATTTTAATGGAGCCCCTGATAATGTTCCTGACATATTTCCAGCTGCTAAAAACAATCAACAAAATAATGTGTCTGCCTTCATGAAGCTCACTTTCTAAAGACAGTAAACAAGCAAACACATACTATGTCAGGAGAATAAAAGAGGGTGGAAAAAAGGATAAGATAAAGTGAAGCTTTACAGTGTGTGGCGAATCATCAGAATCCTGATCTATGTGTAAGTGAATGAAGATACGCAGACTAACACTACTTTATTTTCCTTTCTTCAGGTCCATCGCCATCATCTTGGTTTATGCTGGCCAATTCCAGACCCTTATATGAATTCAAAGCCAGTTATTATTAACATGAACCGGAACAAATATGACTATGCCTTTGATACTAAGTGTTTGTTTAGTCATTTTTCAAAAATAGATAATCAAAAATTTGGTAGGCTCAAAGATATAATACTGGAAGTATAAACTAGAAATGGAGTACAAACCAGATGTAGTATTATACCTGAATCTTAAACATGCTGTGTTTAAGGGATAAAAATATTCCTATTTAGTGTCCAGATTCTAATGATTATATCTTCTAGCATTTGGAGAAATGAATTTCCTTATTGTAAATGTCTCTTACAAATTTTATTTAGAATCAGCAAATGATTTTTAACCCCTGGACTTAAAAATGTACATATTAATAAGCACCTCAGCTTGTGTAAAGTTGGATTCTGTCTATTATAACTGGGCTGTAATTAAAGAATTCAACAATTTTGGATCATTCACTTTCAAAATTAAATGTTTTAAACTAACTCGTGTTAACAAAATATGACTTAACCTCGTATAAATATGTAACATATAGTTATGACTGTAAATAAATCTAACCCTGATTTTAAATGCTAAAATTACTAAAATTTACAAGTTAAAAATTTTAAATGTTAATTGTATAGAAATTCACTGTAGCTCAATAGTATGACTATTTGGTAGCCATAACTTACTCTGAAAGTGTAAAAGATATACACTTTTTTAATATAGTAATTTTTATATAATTTTATTTACCCAAAAATTCAGTTGTAAGAGTACAAGACTAAGGCCAGAGACTTGCTTGATTTACAGATGAACATTTAACTTACAAAGTTAATAAATAAATAAAACTATAGCAGTAGGTGGTCTTTAATAAATGGGGAAATTAACGGGACTTTCCTCTTCATCTTCAAACTGCTCAGAAATAGCAATAGGACTAGTTAATTCAACCCCAAATTGTTCTGAAAGTTTTTTTAACTTCTCTTCTAAGAGAATATTTTTTTTCACTTCTTCTTTGTAATTATACTTCAGATCTTCAATTTCTTCAAAAAATGAAGGATCAAAATTTTCCAGTTCTTTCTTCAGCTTCTTTATTTCCTCCTAACAAAAACATTATTTTTAAAAGGTGCATACAGGAATATAATACACTCTGAACGTTTGAACTAAGGATACTAAATTACAGGAATGACACAATAACCTGAGTAGTCAAGTTTATTTATAAATGCAGAAGCATTTTAATATTTTTGTTAATAAGGTTTGATTGTACAGTGTAAGTAACTTGTAAACTGTCGAAATATTTCTTCTGTAAGTTGTGTTGCAGGCTTTGACTGGAATGTAATAGCTTATAGCTGGGGGCTGGGGTTTAATCTTTCTCCAAAGCACATCAGGTCCTCTCAATTAAGTAATCAAAAGGATTTAGCTATTTACAGTGTTGAAGTTATTTTCGTTAAGAGTCTTTGGTTTTGGCTACATTTATATTTTCTTTAAAGGTACCTAATTTTTAATGTTTCATTTCTCATAAAAATGTTGACGATCAGGGAAGCGCCAGGAAGCTGCCTCAGAGTAAAGTAATACACCTGGTGGGTGGACAATCTGACCTCTAAAAACCATCTAGAACAGCTGGATCACTAGTTTCTTATATTCATGCTCTTTTGTTCTACTTAGATTTTTTAAAGATAGAAAGCATAGCAAATAACTTTCTTTACGGTTAACTATTCTTAAAACAGATTTCAAGAGGAAATAAAAGACATTATAACCATTGTGATCCCAGAGTTAAAACAAGCTGTATTTGAGACAAAAAATAAATTTACTCTTTGTTTTGTCTGATTTTGGGGTAGTTTTTTGTTTAGCAAAAATTTTACAATTACATGAATATAATGAACTTTGCAATATCAAGGGCAAACATTAATGTAACGTAATGTATTACCTTAAAACTCACACATGGTCATCATAACAATAGTTTTAACAGCATGTTAAAATGTCCCACAAAACATTTAAAAAATGGCCTCCCTGGTGGCTTAGGGGTTCTCATCACTACCACTGTTAAGATCTAAGTGGGGAGCTCACCCACATATGGCACAGCAGACCTCTCTTGTCTTATCTACTGCTCCCCTTAACAGTATATTTTAGTAAATCTACTCCCAGCTCTGTCTCTGGTGACTCCTTTCACCACATTCCTCTCCCACACCTCTGCCCTACACCCCAGTTCTTATACAAACACACACACAAACCACTCAACTATAATTAGATATAATTAATTACCTTCAAATGCTGCTTTTCTAGAGTTGAGGTTTTGAGCTGTGTTTCTAGATCTTTTACCGTTTCTTTTAGTTGACCAGTATCTGCCAAAATTATAAAGATTAGACAGCTTTCCCCCAATCAATAAGTTTAAGATAAAAATGGGCAGAAGAGCGAAACGGGCATATCTCCAAAGACATACAGATGGCCAACAGGCACATTGAAAAATGTTAATCATCACTTGGGAAATGCAAATCGGAACCACCTCACACTTTTGCGAATAGAGATTTCACAGAATATTAAAAGTAGATAACAGCATATAAGCATAGTGTACTAGACAACTCATACATGATAGCTTTTGAATAAAGTAGCAATAGGACTACAAGATAGAATATTTAAAAAGCTGTATGAAATAGAGATTGCTTAGATGCAAATTGATCATCTCTTGGATTTGGCATTTTATCAAACTTTCAAAAATGCACAGAATTGAACATTATTTGCACTAGTTACGTTCTGTAAGTCACCACAAACAATGAACTAGTGAAATCTTAACCTCTGCTCCTTGGGAAATAGATACATCTTGGGGGAAACCTGATAGATCCATTTTCTTTGTTTTACAAAGGAGAAAATAAAGTTCGGAAGCGTGAAGTGACACACTGAAGCCCCATCCAGCCAGGACCAGATTCTTGCCCTGTGCAGTATTGCCCCTGCAGTCCTGCAGCTTGTCCTCTGGAACGAGGCAGAGCATTACCTTAATGGATCTCATCTAGGAAAGTATGGGCCAGACAACGTGTTTTCACTGTTCTGTGTATGTCCACAAACACCTCAAGTACTGATTTTGAAATTAAGTACATTTTGGTGAGAGGTAAACTGCAAATCTAGAACCTGTAAATAATAAGGATCAACACTGATTGGGTATGTGTATACATATACACTAGATAGGTGCATATGCATACATATATACACATGAATAGAGTAGTGATTACTAATCACTTCTGAATGAAATGAAAGGGTGTAGAGTAACAGGCTTACTAAAATTTGGGTTATATGGTGGAGGACTATGGGTAAATGGTAACTGAGCTATAACCTGAAGAAATGTGAGCCTCTACCTCTAGGTCATGTACAATGTCTAAACCAATGCTACCTCAAAAAAAAGAAAAAAAAAAAAAGACAGTCTTATGCTATACATTTGACAAAGTGTATTACCAGGTATGGTGCCATCAGCTCCACCTTGATTTTTGTTAACTTCTAGTTGATGAATTAATTCTGCATTTTCTTTTGCCAGCTGACTATTAGCTAATCTAGAACAAAATAATAATGTGTTAAAAAAAATGGGCATTTCTTATGACCATTGTGCTGTACAGTGCTCAGAACTTTCTGATCTTTGTAACATTCATATTTCCTCACTGCTGCATTGCTACCATGCTCAAACAGATCACAAACTGAAAATTATATTTTTAAAATATTTGCCATGATTATCACTATCAATGGTAGTGTTTCTATTAGAGAATCTCATGAGAAGTTACAGAGAGTGCTAGATGTAAAATTTTTTTCACAGTATTTACCTGAAGCTAAGGTTGAAGATACTCTATGCCATAAGAAAAGCTTAAACCAAATTATAAACTTGGCACCTATATTAAGATTTGTTTTATCTCTCTTAGTTTACCATTCAGTATTCATTATATATATAAAAGTGATAAAAGGATATAATAAGGCTTATAAGCCTTTCGTATACATTATGTAAAACAACAGGAGTATATAAATGAACTTACAAGCCTATTTAGCAGTAAGCTTGGAAATCCTCATCCCTAGGTATAGCAAGCCTGGTTATATTAAAAGATAATAAAAAGGAAAGGAAAAAAACAGTTCTGTGAACATACAATGTACCTAAGAACTTTAAGCTCCCGGTGGAGGCCTTGCTCTGTCTCAGCACCTTCAGGAACATGTTTGAGAATCTCAATCTTTGGGCACAATGAAAGGAAGAACAGTTTGACAAGGGAATATAAGGTTTTAAAAAATTTACATTTTTAAAGCATAATATTAAAAGCAGGGTTTTCAATAACAAATAAGAGTGTATTTCAATGGCTTTTATTCCATGCTCATTCAACCTTCCAGGCACTTCAAGGCACAGAGGATATAACAGTGAAAAAAACAGGCAAATCCCTCCAGTTTGTTCCTTATGGTCCTTATATTTTCAGAAGACAGCAATGAGCACGTGATACACAGTGCCATAAGGGATGCACTATCAAGAAAAAAAAACAATTTAAAAGGATGCACTGATGACGAGCAGTTTCAGGGAAAGCCGATAAAGGGCCTCCCTTTAAGTAGTGACGTGAGGGAGGGGGTGAACTCTGAGAATAGTAGTTGTAGTCTGAACAAGGGCAAAGCTCTGAAGCTTGAATGAGTTTGATTTGTTAAATTACTGGAAGAAGCTCAATGTAGCCAGAACTGCTAGTGATAAGGCAAGAGAAGATATCAGCTGTGCAGGTCCTCTGGGACACTGAATAAGCTTAAGTTTTTTTTCAGGAATGAATGGGAACGATTGGAAGATTATAAGGATGGAACTGCTATGATTTGCTTTACGCTTTAAAAGACTTTTGGTAACTGTGGGAAATAGATCAGAAATGAGGAGAGGGTGAAATGAGGCAAAAGAAGAAGTATGGGTACCAGTTAGGAAATTATTGCAGTAGTTCAGGAGTTAGTAGCTCAGATTAGACTGCTTTTGTGATGGCGCTGAGACACTGGCGGACTTGAGTGTATTTTGAAATAGAGTTGACATAATTCAGTGATGAAAAATATATGAGAAAGAAGTCAACAGTGATACAAGGTTTTTGGCTTAAACAAATGGATGAATGGTAGTGCCATCCACTCAAGTGGGGTCTCTAGGGATGGAACAATTAACCAAAAGCTCATTTTTATCTACAGAAGACAATACCAAGGGTGATAATGTATTATTTTATCAAATGAAATATTACTTGCCTGTTGCTCAAGGTCTTCGGTGTATTTTTTAACTTTCTGTTCCCTCTCTGTCATTTCTTTTACAAGTTGTTTAAGATCAGTAAGACTTTGGGCTTTTTTGGCAATATCAGTTTCCAGTTCTTTCAACTTGGTTTCATACATTCTAAACGTGTGAAGAAAAAAAAAAAAGACGGTGTAGACATGGAAAATATTTTTCTCACTGATTTAAAAGCCCATTAAGGTTATTGCCCATTCAAGTTACTATTCTTCTTCTAGTCAAATATTTTGCAAAGCAGGTTTTTAGAAATATATCTAACATAAAGCACAGAACCTGGTGTGTAGCAGGTACTAAGTATCTACTGAATAAATACAAGTCAACATAACTCAAAATTCTGTTTACACATGATAGAAAAAAACAAAGGACCAATCCAGAAATCAAGTGATAAACTACCTGCCTGAAAGCTTTCACTGGGGTTCCAAGCAGGAAATGGGAGAGACCCCCTCTTCCACTTTCTACTATCATACATGTTATTTCACTTAAAGTTTCCTCCCCACCCACAATGTGAGAATCAGAGAGTATGAGGGGTAGGAAGAGCAGGCTCCCAGTGTTCATAGTACAGTATTAATGCATGCAAGAACCACAGACGCTGCCTCAGGGCTGCCTCTCATCTGCCTGCATAATCTTTCCCTTTTCTTCTCAGAATTAACCAAACAGAAATTCAGTGCAGCTGTTTCCCTGTGGGATTATCTGCAGTCTCAGGGCAAGTCTCCCATTTTAACTGCAATGCTGGTGAATACCAACCAAGCCTCACCAAGTCTGTTCTAAATAGCAGGAGAGACAGATGAGGCCCTGAGGACACTTAGGAGGGACTGAGGAGATATGCCTACAAGTAACTATGCAAATAAGACCAAGATGAGTTTGCCATTTTGAAATGGGGCTAGCGGATGTAAAGAGCACTTCTCCAATCAGGATGACTTTAGTGAGAGAGGACTTGGGCCGCATCCTACTGACCTCTGACTTCTGTGCCTCCCCAAAAGGCTGTTTAGCATTAGAAATAAAAGTGACACCACAGCCTTTTACTGATTCATTACTTCATGAATCACTTATGATGAAAGTATGAATGCTCGTTTCCTCAAGAATTCCCATCTCTGCTTTCATAGTCACAAAGACTAGATTCACAGACAGAAGGCATACCTACTTTTAGAAAAGGCTCATGGGGTGGGAGAAAATCAAGATCTAGATCAGAGACCAGTAAGACACTGAAGCTATTCCTGAATCCATTTGTGACAGGATAGTTCAATTGTGCATGTTTGGCACTTGAGGCAGAAATGACACAATGAAGAAGCTGGATTGGAGCTGGCCAAAAGCAATACCCAGCTATTTATAGGTCAACATCCAGTAGACAGCAAATTCAAGGTGCCAACCCAGCATCAATAACTCATTGGGCCTCAGCTCTGCTGTGCCACATAAGTTAGTTAAATATTTAAGGAAGAAAAAGACTCTTTGGTAATGCTGGAATAGGTAAAAAGGTGACTGTCATATTAAAACATTCAACTAAACAGTTCATCAGTAAATAAACAAGTGAGTTATTCAAAATAGTGTCTTTTAAAATAATACCATTTGGAACTGATTAATCTCTGAACCTTTTAAACTCTTTACTCCTACCTTGTGACAACAATTGATTTCCAACTCTTACTGTCAGCACCTTCAAGCTGTGGACCTCTGCTTTCTGCAAGTTGCAATCTTTTACCAGTTTCTTCTAGTTGAACTGTCATCTTCTCATTTAAAATCTCTAAATTATTCTTAGCTATTCGCAATTTCTCTGCGGCTTCAGTTTCCTATCATTAAAAACTAATTAGTATAGAACAAACATACTGCTCTCATAGATACAGTATATTCAAGCTTATCACCACATATTAGATAATATGAAGTTCTAAATGCTGATTAAAATTAAAATGAAAATTTGATGTTCCTTTTACTCTAAAACATGATAATTAGGGTAGGATTATGTAAATGAGGTTAGAAAAATACTACATTGTAGTGCTTACTTTTGTCATCTATGTCTAAAATACTTTTGGAATGATGGGATAATTTATGTGTTCATACATTTAAAGGATGCTTGATTTTGACTCCTTAGTACTTACAGTCCAAGCTATAAGCACAGATTACATGTAAAAAAACTATAGATTTGGCCCTCCCTGGTGGCGCAGCGGGTTAAAGCACAGCACTGAGAATCTAAAGCCGCTTCCACATGAGTTCGATTCTCGCCTGCCCCGGAGGTGACCACATGGCGTGGCAGACCTCTCCTGGCCCGCCCGCTGCTCCCCTCAGCAGTGTACTTCGTCGATCTGCCTGTTCTGCTCCCCACTCTGTCTCTGGTGAACACTCTCACCCTCCGCATCTCTGGCCTGTACCTCAGTTCTGTATGAATAAATAAATCTTTAAAAAACAAAACAAAACAAAACAAAAAAAACTATAGATTATTTCCATCATTAAACATCCACCTTGAAAACAATATATAACTCTGACCATATTCAAATACTGTTGTCATCAGTTTAAAAATAATAATATTTAATATTTGACCCTGATGCACCGGGGTCAAATAACTTCAATTAATTTATTGGATCATCCATAAAAACTTAATTGTCTGGGATAAGGAATAAATTTTGACATTTAAACAAAAAGAATGTTACAGATTGTTTAACAGGTTTCATATATGCCTTATTATATAACAGGTTATGTGTACATAAACTTCACAGCAGCTTTATGAACTAGATATATTTACTACTCCTAATTTTATAAGTGAGGAAATTGAGGGATAGAAGAGGGCTAAAAGACTGCCTTAGAGTTTACAGTGACTAAATAGAGTGAGCTAGGAATTGAATACTAGATATGTAGTTCTACATTATGCTGACTATAGATTTACTAGTTTTTTATTTTCAATATTATTCATGGTGAAAGGATGGCAATCATAAACACACAATTCCTAAATCTCTTAATATGTACTTTGAATAGACGTTATAGTCAAGCATTTCATAGTTTCCTGAAGGGTTACTTAAGATAAGAAAATTATAATCAGTAGTGAAATTATACTTTTTTAAGTTCTTTACGAAGCCTTTCATTTTCAGCAACAATTTTCTCTGTGCCTTTGGTCTTGGATTCATAATGCATGCTCAACTGACGTCCAAGATGAACTTTAAGTTTCTCTGATTCAGCCTAATTAAAAAAACCAAACTGCATTTTAGTGATAACAAAGAAATAAAGGATGATCTTGTAAACTCATAAAACTTAATTTAAAGCAATTTTAGAGGCCCATTCGACAAGACAGAGTACAGTCTTCCCTTTAACACTGCTCTCCTAGAGCAGCTGGTTCCCACCCTAGCAGCGCACATTAGGATGAGCTGATAATGTAAAAGAAAAAATCCCAATACATCGCAGTACACACCCAGACATAACTGAGGTTTTCAGTAATGAAGGTTTATACCTCTGCAAATTTGAAAATAGACCCTGGAAATTATTTCAATCTCTCAGAGTGGGAAGCATGGGTTTTGATACAGTAAGATGAGCAAATAGAGCTATTCTAACTATTGTCTCCAATAAGTTTTTTTCTGTATGTGTAAACTCTGCTGTATTAAAGCCATTTTTATATTATGAGTGTATTAAATGTTTCTTTAAAAGTTAATAAAAATTATAATAGCAAAACATTCCAAACAATCACATTAAAAAAAGTTACCTTCAACTTTTCATTTTCTAGCTCAATGTTAGCCATTTTTTCACTCGTCAATATTCCTGACGCTTTCTTCAACTGTTCATTTTCTCTTTGGACTTTTTCAACTACCTTTTTCATTAAACCAATGGTTTTTTCTAGTTCTGGGATTGTTTTTCCACTTCTACCAGACTGAAAAAGAGTATGTTACCTTTATTTAAATCAAATATTCTAAAACTATAAGGTACAAACAACATTAATAGGCTCATTATTACATTGTGTTGATTCCTAACATTTGAAGCCAAAGTTTCAATCCATAGGGCCCTCCATGGTGGTGCAGCAGGTTAAAGCACAGCACTAAGAAGTTAAACCCACCTCTCAGCATGAGTTTGAACTCCGCCCACCCTGGAGGTGACCCACATGGCGCAACAGAACTCTCCTGCTCCCCTCAGCAATGTACTTCATCAATCTGCTTGTTCTGTTCCCCACTCTGTCTCTGGTGAATCCTCTCACCGCCCCTGCACCTCTGGCCTGCACCCCAGTTCTGTATGCACAAATAAATCTTTAAAAAAATCTTAAAAAAAGGGGCCCTCCCTGGTGGCGCAGCGGGTTAAAGCACTGTAGTGAGAAGCTAAAGCCACTTCCGCATGAGTTCGATTCCCGCCTGCCCTGGAGGTGACCACATGGCGTGGCAGACCTCTCCTGACCTGCCCGCTGCTCCCCTCAGCAGTGTACTTATCGATCTGCCTGTTCTGTTCCCCACTCTGTCTCTGGTGAATCCTCTCACCGCCCCTGCACCTCTGGCCTGTACCCCAGTTCTGTATGCACAAATAAATCTTTAAAAAAATCTTAAAAAAAGGGGCCCTCCCTGGTGGCGCAGCGGGTTAAAGCACTGTAGTGAGAAGCTAAAGCCACTTCCGCATGAGTTCGATTCCCGCCTGCCCTGGAGGTGACCACATGGCGTGGCAGACCTCTCCTGACCTGCCCGCTGCTCCCCTCAGCAGTGTACTTGTCGATCTGCCTGTCCTGCTCCCCACTCTGTCCCGGGTGAAGCCTCTCACCGCCCCTGAGCCTCTGGCCTGTACCCCAGCTCTGTATGTACAAATAAATAAATCTTTTAAAAAAAAATCTTAAAAGTTTCAATCCATAACTATAATAACCCTACAAGAATTATAATTCTAGCTGCATTTTATTTAGCTAATGTGCTTTCCATTATGCTAGAATTTTCTTTGTGTGAAGTAAAGCCACAAAAGACAAAGCATGTCTTTAAAAAGAGCTCATGAACGACCAAATCACAGCAAGATGACGGAGGCAGAATTTCTCTAAGAGTAGCCATTGAATAGAAATTCAGTTTCTGTCAAATATAGATAGGAGAGACATGTGAAAAAAAAAAAAAATCCCATGTAAGGTTATCAAGAGATCAGTCACTAAAGAAGTTTGTTTATAATTTAAAATTAATAAAATTCTTAGGAGTTAAGTAAAATAATGATTAATTGTGTATTTTATTCAATATTCACATTGTTTATTAACAAGCAGTACCACAATATATACTTTTACATATTTTAAAGATATAATGCATAGATTTGATAGGAAAGGTCAACTTAACAGGTTTTTTATTTATGAAATGAATGTTACTATCAGCAACTTTTGTTCTGGATACTGTCTGATAAAACTATTCATATTTTCACCTAATGGATGAAATTGAGTTAATTTTTATATTACAACTCTCTTTTGTATTTGCTACCACCACCATATTTACAAGTGCTTAAATCTTTGGTTTTGATCTCATACAGCTATTTATGGTCCAAAAAAAAGTAAATAAGATAACTTGGTAAAAAACACAAATATACAAAATATTTGGGAAGTGTATTTAGAGCATTACACTAAAAAGTTGATGTGGATATCATAAAGTATAGTTACAAAATATAGTACCAAGGAGAAGTTAGTAGTTACCTCACAGAATAGAAGGAAGATTCCTAGGCATTAAAAGTTTTCAAGATCAAGTTGAGGGGTATGTAACAAAAAAGAAGATATAGACTCCGAGTGTAATAAAGAGCCACATAAGGTGTGACACATGATAAAACACATTGAAACATAAAGGAAAGCTAAATGATGCTTTATCCTGTAGATGCAGAATAAAAATTGAAACTAGATATACTGGTAAAATAAGATTGCAACTATTCTGACATGCCTAAACTTTTTTTCATTTCCAATTTATAACTACTGAAATGAAAACAAACATATGGCGTATTTTCACACTCACCCCTCTCACATGGCCAAGTTTCCGCTCAACTTCTGCTTTTCCTTTCTTAAGAAATTCACACAGTTCCTTCAGATCGCTTACTTGATTCTAGAAGATTAAAGCAACATGAGACAATTTAACAGAGTTAATGTGATCACTACGGTGGGGCGTATGAACTGTGTAGCTCCTCAGCTATAGTCAAATTGACAAGTGGGCGTCTCCACCACGGAGGACTTTGAACTAAGACATAGTCTGAACTAAAGTACATCAATATAAGAGCATTATGGATGTGGATTTCAAGAAATATTTTCTACATTATTGCCTTAGAAGACAATATAAATTTGAGCCTCGAATTCAGGTCAACTGTCCCATAAATTACATACATAGATCTTTACTCGTGCTGGAAAGAAACAGAAAACTGAAATTCTAATCTATAACAGTTCTAAAATGTGAAAATCAGAACAAGAAGTGGAATATAACTTAATTATAACATCAAATGTGAATTGAATGGTTTGGAATATTCTACTTCAGAAAATAGAACTGAAATAATTAGCTAACCAAGAGAAAAAAGGGTTCCCATAAATAAGGTGATTTGGGAAACTGAAGATAAACTTACTTTCAACATTGAAATAAAGTAAGATGCCAAAAAGTATTTCAGTTCTTTTATTACAAGGAACTTATTTTTTAGAGAGAGAAGATTTTTAATTATGATGATATTAATGAACACATTAACCATCCTCTTGCCTCAGGGCATTTGAATGTGTCATTTCTGTTGTCTGAAACTCCTTTTTCATCTATAGATGACTCACTTTACCACCTCTCCCCTAGCTCTCTGCTAAAATAATCCTTTGATTAAGGCAGCCTTCTCTTACTACTCTGGCTCAATAGTAATTCCATGCATCTCTCCCCTGATCTAACACTTACACTTTTTACACCAGACATACTTTTCCTCCTTAGCACGCACTTATTTGCTGACATGTTGTATATGGACTTGTTTACTATCAATCTTCCATACTAGAGTATAAGCTCTACAAATGCAAAAATCTTCTTGACTGTTGTTTTCCAGGACTTAAGAGTGCCTGACACAAAGCAGCTTCTGATTTCATCACAAACTAATAAAATAAACATAACTAAGCAGGGGAAAAAGATTTTAGATGTTAGATTATAGTTGCATAATGAAGAACATTAAGATTACCTTTAGTCTCGGCAAATCTTTATTTGCTTGTTCAAGCTGAAATTTTAGTTCAATATTTTCAGATGACAACTTCAAATTTTCCTTCTGAAGTTCCTGTTCTCTTTGGCTACGATCATCTGACTCTAGTTCTGAATTCTTCAGAAAAATGAAGTCAGAAATAATATTAAGGCTTAATAAATGAAAGCCACTTAAGACACAAATGGATAGGAAAATATTACGCTAAAGAGAACTTTTTTCCACAGAGGGACAAGAGAAAAGTAGAGATTTCTACACAAAACAACAAAAAATAAATGTTACAATATAAAAATTACAGAATATGAAATGCAGTTTGTTTAACTTAACACAGAAAACAAAATCAAGAAATGACTTAATCATGTCCACATATACATACCTCCATCTCTACTCCTCTAATGATTAAAATAATTTATGGTGGCTTTTCCAGTTTAAAATAAAGCCTGACTGACATCTGTTATGGATTTTATTTTGTCCCAATCCCCACACAGTTAGGCTGAAGTCCTAACTGCCAGTACCTGAGAATGACAATATTTGGAGATACGGCTTTTTAAAGACTACCAAGTTAAAATTAAAGGATTAATTAGAGTGAGTTTTAATTCAGTGTGACTGGCAGTCTCATGAAAAAGGGAAATTTGGATACAGAGTACCATAGGAGAGAGACAATGTGAAGAGACAAGGAGAAGCTATCTATAAACCAAAGAAAAAGGCACCGAAAGACCTTTCCCTCACAGACCAAAGGAGTCGTCAACCTTGCTGATATCTTGAGTCTGACCTTCCACTTTCTAGAATTAGGAGAACAAATTTCTGTTATTTCAGTCATAAAACTGTGGTGCCTTTTTATGGTAACCCTCATAAATTAATATGCAAGCCAGTGCCTTCTTCAGAAAGTTTCTTCTTGCTCCTTAAAGTGAGCTAAATTCTATCTGGTTCTGACTGACAGACATGTTCACGAACAGTTGGCTCACTATTATAAGACCAGAGGGGTTGTCCTCCTGAATTGGAAGTATGAGTCATCCACAGTTCTGCCTTAGTTGTATAAATTTGTCCATGTATTCAAGTACAGCATCATTGTTTAACTAGGGGGGGGGGGGAAAGGTACTGGAATAGATACTTCTCCGAAGAAGATAAAAATGACCAACAGGAACATGAAAAATTGCTCAGATCTAAAACCACAGTGCAGTAATCTCTCACAAATAAGAATGGCCTATCTCAAGGAACAGCAAGTATTGGCAAGGGAGTGGAAAGAGAGAAACTCTCTAATATTGTCGGTGGGAATGTAAGTTGGTGCTGCCTCTATGGAAAACAGAATGGCTATTCCTCAAAAAATTAAAAATAGAATTGCCATATAACCAGCAATTCTACCTTGAGTTACTTATCTGCAGAATATGAAAATACCAATTTGAACAATTACATGCATCCAAAACTATTCACAATAGCCACAACATGGGAATAACCTGACAATGAATGACTGGATAAAGATGAGGTACACATACTCTATGCCGTACTCATCAGCTTTAAAAAGAAAAAGATGAAATCTCATGCTGTGAAACAACATGGATGAGATTGGAGGTGATTATGCTAAGTAAAAAAGACTGACACAGCTGAATAGCAGGTGGTTTCATTCATGGAGACTAAAGAAACCCAGAAAATGAAGTAACAGAAGACAAAAGAAACAACTCTTAAGACTGATAACAAAATGGTGGTTAGCAGGTGAAAAGGATGGAGGGGGGGAGTAATAGGTAATGGTGGCTCACTTGATAATGGTGAATGGGTAGTAGGTAGTGATGTGTGTGGCATATACTTTTAATCAAGGTATGAAACTTAGGAGTTTAGAAAATAAGAAAACACATAACCATTTTTTTTTTTGGTAGGAACTACTCAAATGTTAGGGCTTAAGGAATGTATTAACAGTTCATATATTTAACAAATCCAAATGTGTGTACTGTTTACTATAAGAAAACTCAGCACTAGTCACTGCTAGAAAACTCAGTTAACATAGGCCTAAAGGGCTGCCATGTGCTCAAACCCGAGGCATGGCCCTTCACTGCTGGACCAGCGTCAGAGGATACCTGTGGGCCCTCAGCCACTGAATCACGGCAGCACTTACTGGGGTACAATGATGGTCCCCAGCAGATTCTTCTGGATCCCTGTGGCTGCTGTGTCCCCTTCTCATTCTTGCCTCACATATTCCCTTCCTTGACTTTATGATCCCATTTATTTTCTTCACAATAGTCTTGATTTTCTCAATTTCAATATCTGGTTTATTTTCAAAATTGGAGTTAAAATCTTCAAAGGTCCAGCCCTCCCTGGTGGTGCAGCGGGTTAAAACACAGCACTGAGAATCTAAAGCCGCTTCCACATGAGTTCGATTCCCGCCTGCCCCGGAGGTGACCACATGACGCAGCAGACCTCTCCTGACCCGCCCGCTGCTCCCCACAGCAGTGTACTTTGTCGATCTGCCTGTTCTGTTCCCCACTCTGTCTCTGGTGAAGACTCTCGCCGCCCCTGAGCCTCTGGCCTGTACCCCAGTTCTATATGCACAAATAAATAAATCTTTAAAAAAAAAAAATCTTCAAAGATCCTATTAGTTGAACTAAATGAACTAGAATTATTGTTTGGCATTTCCTTAGATTGACTAACCTCAGAAGGAAACCTAATATCTTCTGCTTGGTGTTTTTCTTTATTACTGTAATACCGCAAATTATTTCCAGGTACCTGGTAGTATAAGTTGTCACTGGCATGTGTTTGCTTCTCATGTTTGAGTCTAAGCACTGTTAAGAACTTGTTTATTTGTTTTTGTTCCTGTGCAAAATGTTCTTTTTGCGAATATTAAACCTTTATTTATTAACACTGGTAGAAGGTAGAAGGCATACTTGTGTCACATCTGATTGAAGCAGATGAAAGAAAAAAAAACATGAAAAGGAGAAACAAAAAATAAATATAGACTAAATGCTTTAAAATAAGATATGACAAACAATCCTACATTAATATTTAAAAAGAAAAAAAAGCACAAACATCACAGATGTTTGAATGAAAGTAATGCTGTATTTTTCTACTTCATCTAGTTATATGTTCTTGTCACAGCAAAACACATTACTTACACTACATTTAAAGTCAGTATAAATCTCTTGTAATGAGACTCAACTCCAAGTGTAAGAATCAAGTTTACTGTCAGCAGGTAAGAAGGATTCAGGAAGTTAACATATATAAAGAATAAAAGTAAAAGTTCATTTTATTGTATTAATAGTAATGAGAGGAATGTAATTTTTTAGCCAGATAAAGTTGTTGATTTTACTTTTAAACTTTAAAAATAGAAAAAAAGAAGTGACTCACACTTACTGACGGCCTAGAAAATGTGTCCTTTGAAAACTGTTTTTCTAAAGTATGAAGTTTTTCCTGGAGGTACCTGTTTTGCAAACGTAAATCTTCTATAACAGAATCTCGAGAAAGGGCTTGGTGGGTCCTATGGGTGGCAACCACAAAGGCTCTTTATTATTCCAGTTGCAACTTTTCACTGTTTCACTACATTATAATTAAAATTATTAGCACTATATTTTAAATGACACATAACTTTCAACTTTTACAAAACAAATAAGAATTGATTATACATTATAAAATAATTCTCTACAGAGCTTGAAAGTATGAGTTAACAAATATATTCTGATTTATAAAAATATGTTAACATTTTAAACAAACCCATACCTATATAGAATTGTGTAAGAGAACTGAACTAAAATGCCCAGTATATGCAAGGCATCATATAATAATTTTATAACATCCATGTGTCCCTAAAAGCTCACCGATTTTAAAAGGCTCCTACTGGTGCCATTTCAAGTGATTACTCCATGTGGCCGACAGGCTCCTCTATGATCTGGCACAACCACACCTACCCAACCTAGGAATGCCTAGGACTTTACCTTTACTTAGGCATCTAAATCTGTACAGAATGTTCTACTAGGCTTCTGCTTTCTTAATATGTCCTTACCCCCTTTAGTATCTTTAACATTACAGATATCTTCAATATTTACATTGGATTCATATAATTCAGAAATTGTATGAACTTGAACTGAGAGAACAAATTCAATTTCTCCTATAAAGTTTTGTCCAATTACTTCCACCCACACAGATCCACATTATTAGAAGGAAAAAAAAAATCAATTAGAAGTTATTAAAAACTTCAAAACTAAACATTTTGATCATTGTGAAAACTGCAAAGGCAGATAAAAGGGTTTAATTTTACTCTGAATATATGTTTAGATTGAGAAAAACACGGAGGGCTGGAGCCAATGCTGAAGCTAGACAGTAACTATACACAGATGTCAAAATAAAGAATTCTTCAAACAATTTTTTCTTTTCTATCAAGGAAAATTCTTAAGGCGTTAAGAAAACAATGTTTTAGAAGGGAAGGAGGTGGAGTATAGGAAAGGACATCATGAGTGTTCCTTTAAGGGAGGTCAACCTCATAGGTTTGTGTTATAGTAATGACACAACTATAAGAATTAATAAAGAGGTACACCAAAGATAATTTTTTTTAAATTTACAAAAAGGAAAATAAAGCATGATGAATGGTTAAGTATTCTCTGTGCACATATTACATGTAGCTACCAGACTTTACACTGAACTCTAACATGATTACAGGTCCTTATTGGTAAGCAAAGTAAGTAAAGTAACACAAGTAAAACAAGTCTAAATGAAACAGGAAATTATAAATAGTTTTGTCATTAGAACATGATTTTATTTTTTGCTTTCTATGGCCATCAATCTATCAGAAGACATAACTTACAAAGAGATAACAAAACAAAAAAGTTTCCAAGACGCTGCTACAGAAGTGACATGGGAGGTTGTGGTTGTAAGTAAAATGGAGTAAACATTCAGTTTTGTTTCTCCCAAATACAGTATGGAGGTTTAAAGTATATAACTAATAGACTGGGACATACACTGGAATTTGAAGTATTAATAAATGGGCAGTGATTTTTCCTTTTCCTCTGCTACTTCTTGGCCTGAACACAGCATTACTTGAAATGTATATGAAGGTGAGTGTTAGCACTGTGGGGGAAAATTTTAGGGTGGCCTTAAATTTCTAGCTCCAGTAAGCAGAAAGGGAACTTGTAAATACAGAAAGCGCATAACCCACACCATCCCCTTCTTCTTTCCTTTCTCTCATGTGCCAACCCTCAACTAACCCCAAAGCCACGATGGCAGAATAAGTATGGGAATGCCCAGCAGTCCAAATATTTAGGGACAGAGTCTTTTCCCATTGGTAGAGCAGTGACTGGTTAGGGGGTAGTGTGAAAGCAGTACCAGCAACTCCCCTCACCCCTACCACCCCCCACCCCGGACACCCATTCTGCTTTCCAGTTTGTTTTGCTGCAGATAAGTGTCCAGTACAAAAGGGAAACTAAAGCACCATACTTGGTTCAAAGCACCATAAAGCACTGGAGAGTATTAGAGAAATAGCAGTAAAAAAGTAGTTAAAGAAAGGGAGCAAATACAGTTGTTTAAGAACTTCTGGGTTCAGCTTCAGCTGCACATACCAATGATTTGGCCCTAAAAGAATCCAAAGACTCTCAGAGCTGAACTAACATACAGAAGGCAGTATGATGTCACCTCGGCAGGGCACAGCCAGGACAGATTTGAAGAGCCCTGTACGGGCTTTGAAAAGTGAATTGATAGTAAAGCCATAGCCACAGAAAGCAGGATGGAACATTGGATCTAAAACTACCCAAACCAACATTCTGTTAAAACAGAAACATCTACATTTTTAGTAGATGCTAAATGTCTACTTAAATGTGGTTTATAACTACAACCCAGAGTCTTAAAATATAATTCAAGAATACAATCCAAACTTATATGGCAGATAGAGAACTAGGAATATCTCAGCACACATGAGACAAGACAATCAGCAGGTCCCAACCTGAGAATAACAAAAATTTGTTACATCAGTTTCTATGTTACCTTCATGATAATGAAGATCACATTTCCACATATTTGCTTACCTCATATATGATAGGTCATTTTCTAAGTCAAGATTTCTCTTCTTTAATTCTTCCAACTCTTTTTCTGACTCCAAAGCACGTACTCCCATAACCTGATCAACGGTTATGCCAGTTGTTTTTAGTTTCCTCTGCAAAGTAAGTTTCTCTTTGTCAGCTCTGTAGGATTTAACATAGAATCATGAAAATATACCAATCACTTGTTTGGCTTGTTCAACATACTGAATTTCAGCTTACTCCTTACAAGAACAATATTTAAAAATACAACCCTTCTATATTTGCTAAGAGCTACTATATCTCAAGATTAAAGAAAACTATTTTTATAAATTGCTAAAATACATTTTAAGTACATTTTAAGAATTAAAAACTGAACCACAGTTAATAACCTAGATAAAAGTAGGAAAATCTTCACATTATCAAATAAGATCAAGCTATATATGTAACTTCCAGAATCCATTTTAATGGCTTTATACACAATTAATTAGACTTTTATTAAACTGAAACTCACTTGGCAAAAAGATCCTTCAAAGTATTCAACTGTTTTGTTAGAATGTAGACTTCTCCTTCTTTCTCTTTCAACTTGTTTCGAATTCCCTCTACTTTGGTTTGCCATTTTTTACCTTCTTCCCACCTAATTAATTCTTCTTTAGCATTCTGTAAACAGTAACAAAGAAGGGGAAAATTATCAATATTATTTTAAATTTCAAGAGCTATCAATTAGAATTTACCTGTCTAATGGTGAACCAATACATCCTAGACTAGAAAGATTCCATTTCCTATGTGATTTCTAGACTCCTTTGGCATGCCAACCTATTAACAAAAATTTCTTTCAGTTTAGGATTCTGAATTCTATATGCCCTATAGATGAAATTCTGGGGAACTAATACCAACACCTTTAAGGGTTCTTTAAATAAAGAGTCTCACATAAATGATCATAATGACTAAAGTAAGCATGTAACAAAGAATGTGTACATATAAGTGACAAACCCCATTTCATTAATCCATGGCAAACTTCTATCATCACAGACTGCTCAAGTCATCAATGTACATTAGTTCTTTTAATCACAGAAACATTTAGTGCTGTCCATGTGCCAGTTACTACTCTAGGCACTAGGAAGAGAAACAGTGAATGAAGCAAACTAAAAAACACTGTTCTGCTCCCCACTCTGTCTCTGGTGAATCCTCTCATTGCCCTGCACCTCTGACTATACCCCAGTTCTGTATGCATAAATAAATAAATCTTAAAAACAATACCTAACAAAGATAAATTGCCCTATAAAAATTATCTTCTCTGACACTGGCAATTTTTTTTATTTCGTTCAGCTAACAAAATAATATAAAATAATATATAAAAATAATATAAAATAATATAAAAACTTTAAGTGTGTGACCATTATAACTTAATTTTTTTTTAATGAAATATATAAAAAGAACTCTGTATTTATGGAAAGGTGAATCTTAGCTGGGACCACAGGTATATGCATAAATAATGTGCTATGGAGTACTTTGTAGGGCTGGGCAGTTTTATCCCATCTGACATTACACTTTCAGGTAAGACTGAGGTAGCAAGGCTGAAACAATTTTAAAATGAAAAGAAAAATAACAAAGGCAAATGTCAGCAAGAATCTATTTTAGATAGGGAGGGAAAAGGGAAGAAGAAAGGAGGAGGAAAAGAAGCTTTCTTTTCATAATTTCTGTAAATAATAGCCTCTTCTAATAGATTTCAGAAAAATGTTTTTGTACTTTAGGTTTTTATTGATTCAAAAATTACTGAGCATCAATTATAAGTTAGGAACTGTTTTATGGGCTTAGGGATGCTATAATAAAACAGGCAAAAGCTTCTGCCATCAAAGCTTACAATCTAAAAGATGAACACCTCTGTAAGTAAAGTCCTAGTAAGTCAGATAGCAATAAAGGTTAAGGAGAACATAAAGCAGCATAAGAACACAGAAATACAAGGAATGTAAGTGGCTTTATAGTCTTATGTAGATGATAAACACTGTTTACAGAGAAAAGGGTGCTGAAAATTTCAGTGCAAAACCATTCTTTGTGTATAAAAACACTGATAAATTAGAAATGCTCAGGCCTGAGGGATCTGAAAGGATATTCTCACTAAATTCCTCGATACAAATTTTAATGTTAGTGTAGTTCCGTGTTCTCTTTCTTTTTTCTACTAAGTAAGTTCATCATACGTTGTTGTGGACTTAATGGTTTATAACAGATGTTTAATACTATTTCATTTAATTTTGAAAATAATTTTAATATAAATAGTATTATATCTATTTTAAGGAGAAATAAACTACAGCAGAAAGTTAAGAGTAGGTGAAAGCCACAAGTCTATTGAGCTATTTTGATAGGAATAAGATGAGGAACTGGTATCTAGGAGATAAGACTTGTGCCCATTCAGGGAAGCAGAAAAGAAAACTCTCTAGAGGAATAGGACATCGTGATCTTGCAGTTTTCACCAGCAAAGTTTCTGACAGGAAATACGGTGAGGATTTATCTACATAAATGTTAACAATTTAATCAAAATTATACAACACTGATGAAATTTCAAAGGGAAAATACTTCTTGAAATATACCAACATTTTAGTTCTAGTACTTATTTTCTATTCAGTGCCAATAAAGATATTTTTCTTTTCTATTTTCTTGTTACTGAAATTATTTTATAGATATTGGATATGCTACCAATAAAGACATAAGTCTTCAATTCATAATATATAATAAATTTAATTATATGTTACTTGGTCAATTTAAGTTGTTCTTCGGGTTATATATTTTTATCAGTAATTTTTATTACAAAATAGTTTATTAGTTAACCTGTAGGAAATTTTTAAGCAATTCTGCTAATATTACAGAATAATATATGAATGAGCTGATAATTTACTATTACAATATTGATTATATTCCAATATTCCAAATAATATTTTTTTTACCCTGGGTTAACAGGTTATTCTATTGAAAGACAAGTAGGAAAAACACTTTGGTCAAGGTAGAAGACTAAAAATACCCACTTTACTTTCCCAAATCAAAAGCACTAAAAGGTAGCTTTATAGGGAACAAATATTGCTGGATATGTAAAAGTCTGAAGGGATCTTTGACATAGTATGTCACAGGAAGTGATACAAGACAATCAGTAATGTCTGAGTAAGAGTTATATGATTGCTGTTCCTTCAAGTAGACTTATAAATACATAAAGGATAAAACGTGTCTAGACTTCTATTTTCCAGTGCCACTTTATGTATGTATATCCAGTATGAGTTAGATACTTATACTAGTAAAGTACATTATCTGTTCATCAATTACATATTTAATTTAGTCTATTATTACCTTAAAGCACATATATTAGTATGTTTCTTAACATACCTTTTCCTTTATAGGCTTTATTTCTACCTCATTCATCTTTCTTTCCAACTGGCTTTCCAGTTTTTTAATTTTCTTTTGTAGTTCTTCAACTAGGCTTTGTTTATTATCTGTGAAAGGTTTGCTCTGAAAAATAAGATACATTTTTCTGTTTTACAAATTTAAAAAGTACAAAAAATACATAATAAATATCTTAAGTACAGAACGTTTCAGTGACTATAGCTACCATACTCTATCAGTGACAATATTTATGTAGAATGGCTACTTCTGTGTTTTAATAAGTTTGTTACTCTAGAACTAAAAATGCACTAGAACACTGAAAGAATCAGCAATATTAATCAGTGATTTAAAGACTAATTTCAGCAAATTACAGATAGAATTAAAAAGTGGGAATAAATTATGACCTATTATAAACCAAGACCTTATCAAAATATAAAATTACCTGTAATCCACTGGTTAGTCTTTTAATTTGCCTTTTTAGTTCATCATTCTCTTGCTCAATTTCATCTTTCTCTTTAAGAATTTTATTATAGGCTTTTTGTTTCTTTTGTAGTTCATTGGTAATGTCACTCAAATTATCAGTTAGTGAGTTCTCTCTATTTTTACTTGTTTTAAGAGCTTCTTTCAATTTTGAAAGATTTTCACTTAAATCTTCAATTTGTGACTAGAGACAGAAAGATTTAGTTCATAAATCTTCAACAATCAATGATATAAACAAAAACAAAAAAGTATGCTACTAATAAATTAAAAAGAAAGTTTCAATCTAAATTTTTAAGTACATAAGGAAAAAAGAAACTACCATATATATGTTTCCAGCTTCATCTCAAATGAAAGAAAAACAAAAAACATGAGCAAACGGTCTAAAACAAGCAATGTGTGTGTATATGTACCTGCAGCTATCTAAGAATTCATTAAAATTAAATCTATATTCATGATCAAAAATACTGTGTTTCAAAATGGATTCTCTTTCAATGGTAATCATCAGGACTTTTGTGGCACTAATTTGTGCATCATGATGCTCACCTTTAGCTCTTTTGTATGACGATCAACAATTTGTTGAACATTGAGATTTGCCTCTTTCTGAGAAGTTGCAGAAATAATACGTTCTTCAGCTGCTGCTGTCATCTCTCCCCGAAGTTCTAAAAGGGCACGACTAAGTGCCTAAAATTTACAAATAGCTAAGTGTTTGGAAAATAATTGTATTTTATATGAGTGATATATAATACATTAGAAAATTTAAAAAGCTTTATTACTTGACTATTTTACTAAATTCTATGAGTTTAATAAAATATATTCACAAACTAATAACCCAAATTTTCAAATGAATCTCCTTTAGTAATTTCACCAAAATCTTTCTAAATTGGGTGTGAGAGTTCAAATCTTGATAACAATAATTTTGAGAGCTGAGAATTAATTACAAAATTTTATATTATAAAAAGCAAGTTTGCTTGATTTTCAAACACTCATGTTTAGGTATTGTCCAAATGACTCTCTTCTGTGGGGAAAAAAAACAAAACAAAACAAAAAACAACTGAATTTAACTAGGTAAGAAAGTTATAAGATATTAGGAAAGACTTAAAATTTACCAATAAATTTCATGAGGTCATGTTGAAAAAAGTAACACTTCTTAAAGAAATGCTTAATCAAATCTGAGATATGTTTTAAAAAAAAACTTAATCTGGGCCCCCTTGGTGGCATAGTGGGTTGGAGTGCTTTTATGCGAGTTCAATTCCCACCTCGGGAATGACCCACATGGTGCAGCAGACTTCTCCTGACCCACTCACTGCTCCCCTCAGCAGTGTACTTCCTCAATCTGCCTGTTCTGCTCCCCACTCTGACTCTGGTGAATCCTCTCACCACTCCTGCACCTCTGGCCTGTAACCTATGTCCATATGTATAAATAGTCTTTTTTAAAATAAGACAAAAACTTAATCTGATAATTCACTGACCAACTCCTTCTTATACAACTTATTACTATGACCTTCACTTTAATTTCTTCTCTCATTGTTATTTTTTCTTAAATCCCAAACTTGCTCAATTATTTAAATTGTCTGATACAGCCTCAGTAGCATTAGAAGGGGAAATGGAGAGGAACTAGAAATCCCAAAAGAAAAGGAGAGAAGATAATGGGGTCACCTTATTTTGTACAGATTAACTCAAATCTGACTGACGAAAACACAAAAATATAAATGGACTACACCTGTATTTAAAACAAACACAGGCTGGATGAACACAAGGGAATATGGTGATTGATCATAGGTGATACAATGGTGAGAGAAATATGTAGACAACAATGATGTAAGAAAAAAAATTAAATAGATTAAAAACACCAATATGCTTTTTGGAAGAATTATCTCAAAAGCTTCTGCTCACCAGCATTAGATAAAACACATACATATAATAACAGCAGAGATGCATGTTATTTTTTTAATCAATCTGTCATATTTTTCCTAAATGTTGATAATTTTCTGTTACTTACTTTTTGTTGTTTCTCTTTTAAGGCTAATTGGCTCTTAAGTCTTTCCACTAGATTTCTCATTGTAGTTGTTGGAGCTCTTGAATTTGCTTCTTTTTGAGCCTGCAGTTCAGATTTTAAACTTCGTGACTCTTTTTGTGACTGGGCCAGAAGGGACCGTAAGTCCTCTACTTCTGTTTTCACTTTTTTTACTTCATCTGCATGGTTTTCTTGGAGCCTAATATACATATATATACACACACACACACATATATACACATATGCACACACATATATTAAATACACATAACATATGGATATAAAGCATAACATAAATACATTTAATATATATGTAAGCTGAACCAAATCCAAAAGAACAATCCTTTCTTCCACTTAGCTATTCTTAAACTTCATGAAATAGAGTTACCCCCTATCGTTTCTCAATAAGGTCATCAATACAGAGATTCAAATTATTTAAATGAACAATAAATGGAAGATTTATTAAGCCATCATTAAGTGTTTCAGACTTGCTGATTATAGCAAAAATAAAGTGACTTTAATCAAATTGTGAAAGTTAAAGATTTACCAAAGAAATTAATTAGATCTATAATTTCCTGAGACATTAAAACATTCATAGCAATGTACACAAATAATTTTAGGCTAAAATAACAAGATAAGGTATACAGTAAGTACTTCAAGTATTTTAGGTAGTAAAATCAATGTATGTACAAGATACTTTCAAAAAATGATTATTTTTTAAGCCAAGAAAATAGACTCAATGTACAATTTTATACACCAAAATATGACAGGAACTTGCTATAGTTGAACTAATAACATATATAAAATAAAATGGGTATTGTTATATTAAAAATAAACCATATTTCCATATACTATTGCTAATTCTTCTTTCCTTTAGAGAATTTCTTAAAAGTAACAACTTCTTGGCCCTCCCTGGTGGCGCAGCGGGTTAAAGCACTGCACTAAGAAGCTTAAGCCACTTCCTCATGAGTTCGATCCCTGCCTGCCCCGGAGGAGATCCACATGGCGTGGCAGACTTCTCCTGACCCACCCACTGCTCCCCTCAGCAGTATACTTCGTTGATCTGCCTGTTCTGCTCCCCACTCTGTCCCTGGTGAACCCTCTGGCCTGTACCCCAGTTCTGTATGAATAAATAAATAAATAAATCTTTAAAAAAAAAAAAGTAACAACTTCTTAATAAAGAATAAAATATTAATTTTTGACAGGCATCTTAGATAACTTAGTAAATCAAAGATAGGGCTTCAGCTAACATGAAATCACAGTTACATAGTCAATTTTCTCATTTTTTCAGAAAGAAATCAGGGTCAAGAGAGGGCCTTTTCTATAATGCTTAGAAAATATCTAACTATATACCTATTTTAGGCATAAAAATCTATGTTCTGATAATTGGTTGAGCAATATGTAGAATCTCTCATACACATTTTATATATATCTCTATATCTATCTATCTATCTATCTATCTATCTATCTATCTATCTATCTATCTATCTATCTATCTATCTATCTATCTATCTATCTATATGTAGTTGTATCCTAGAAATGCTTAAAGGTGGGCATATAAAACTTGCATATGTTATTATAATTTCAAATATAGTATCATCCAACCTTTATATAATCACTCAGAAAGAGCCAAGGTGAGTACATTCATCCCATTTTATAGATGGTGAACCAGAAGCTTGAGAGATTAAAAATGGGATTTTGGACAAGAATCTGGTTTGGCCTGAATCAGACCGCCTAGATTCAGACTGCGGTTCCTACCTCCTCCTTGGCATGTCACTGTATTTCCCTGAAAAATGGGGATAGTAATAATCTATGTGCTAAGTGGTTTGAGTACAAAAAGAGATGACATACTTGAAACCTGTAGAGCTATACATGACATGATTGCCTATATTTATTATTCATTATGTTATCACCATTTGCGTATTTTTGACATTTCTAAATAAGACTCACCGTAATTTGACATTTTCAAATTCTTTGATTTTTAATTCAGTGATTTCTTTTTGTTGCTCTAACTCTTGGGATACTTTTTTTAGTTTCATCAAAAGTGAAGAGAGAGAGTCATCTTGTTCTGCCACTGTCTGTTCCATCTCAGCCAGACGAATAAAATGCTTACTGGTAACAACTGGAGCAGGAGATTGCTTTATTAACTCCTATAAAACACGAATATCTTAATCATGAACATATGCAACTCATTGCCATGCCTTTTCCATAATTTTGATTTCTCAAAGGCTATAAAGCCTAATCTAAAATTTAATGCTTACACATAGTGGAGGAACAATAAATGTTGACAGAATTAATGCCTTAAGGCTTGAGAATGTTATGGCCTGCACACTAGAAAGAAAAAGCAGTTTACTCATAGGTATACATCACAATGATCAAAAAAGGCAAGTCTGAACTAAAGCTGGAACATGGAAATAGTCGGAGCAAACTTGTAATGAGCAGAATTTGAAAGGAAAGAGTAAGGTCAGATCATGGAAATCTTTGAGTAAATGGCTAAGAAATATAAACAAGATTTTGTAGGCTGCTACTTGGCTACTAATGGATGTGGGTTTAGGGGAAAAAAATGATCAAAGCTGCATGTTTAGATGATTCTAGCAACAAGGTAAGGTGGCTTCTACTACAAAAGGAAAAAAAAAAGAAGAGCAAGAGGTAAATTTTCAATGATATGTTCCCAAAATCAAAAAAAAGAATAGAACAAAATTCTTAGAATCTTACCCAAGCTGTCTGTTTAAATTTATTGAGTGAACTGTCAGCCTGTAGTTCCAACTTATGATGAAGAATATGAAGGTCTTCTTCATGTTTCTTAACAATTTCTCTTTGTTCCTGTTTTATAGCAAATACAAAATACATCTTAAATTATTATTCAAATAAATCCACATGCTTAAGATTCACTACCTCTAAAATCCCCATGGGATACAAAAAAGAATGCTATCAGCACATATATTTATACCAGTATAATATCCCCCAGCATAAGTTCCAGTTGTCCCCAGCCTTTGGTGATAATTTATCCCTACTATGAGAATAATATGTATTCATCATGTAATTTGTTTTCAGATTTTTTCTTAAATGTTAAATTTCCCCTACAAGCTTCTAGTGAATCTGATTTTCATTAAAAGTATGATACAAAGATTTAATTCTAATATAATGCCTTGATCTTTACTTGTGAATTTAATTGATATTCTTAAAAATTATTCAGCATGACAACTATCACTGATCTAGCTAGTCCATAGAAGAAAGATATACACATACAAGCTGTCCGTTTTACATACAAATCTGTAGTCCAATCACATGGAATTAAGAATTCCTAAATAGAATCACTTGAAAGCAAGAAGTTATCTACCACTTTAAGGCAGAGTAATATTAGGCATTTGATTAAAAGACAAAACAATATAATATGATATAGTAAAATATAACATGACATGATATATAATACAATACAATACGATACAATACAATAAAATACCTCTCTGGCTTTTTCAAGAAGATGTTGATACTTCTTTAGAACTTCTTCTTTTTGATTTAACCTTGCTTGCATGTTTGCAATGGTCTGATGAGCAATTTTCATTGTGTGATGTGATTTTGGTTCTATTTCTTTTCTACCTAGCTCAGCAATAAGCTTTTCTCGTTCTACAGTGGCAGGTAATCGAAGTCTCAGCTCGTTGATAACCTTGTCTCTTGATAGAATATTTTGTTCTGCTGACCGTAAAGCAGATTCTTTTTCTTTTAGCTTCTGCAATAATCAAATCATAATAAATTATTAATTTTTTTTAAAAGACTTATGTATGCATACAGAACTGGAGTACAAGCCAGAGGTCCAGAAGCGGTGAAAGGCTTCACCAGAGACAGAGTGGGGAGCAGAACAGGCAGATCAACCAAGTACACTGCTGAGGGGAGCAGCAGGTGAAACAGTTGCACCTGGTAGATCACCTCCGCCACCTGGGATTGAACTTGCACTGAAGCAGCTGTGGCTAGCTTGCAGTGCTGCATCCTAATCTGTTAAGCCACTAGAGAGGGCCTAAAGCTTATTTTTTCTTTAAAAAATGTTTTATCTAAATTTTAATTAGTTATAAGCAAAACTAGGAGTTCTGCCTTATTTTTCACATCACCTATGACAGCCAAATGACACTTAATATGGTAAATTAACTGCATTCTGTGATGACAATTATCTATATGCATTTTATTTATAAGAATATAACAAGTGATAGAAACTTCACTGTTATGAAAATGAAGTTTAATTAAGATATTTTACTTAGACATTGTAGTTTTACTAGCAATGTGTCATAGTAGATTTAAAGAAGAAATATAATAATTTTTACTCCAGTCCGCTGACTGTTAAAGCACCAGAAGATAGCCTATAAAAATCTACTGAGTATGAAAATTGGAATTTTAGAGACCCAAGTCAATGAATCATTGCACAATCTACAGTCTATTAATACAAAACAGAAAAAAGTTCTATTCTTCAGGAGGATTGCAGCAGATGATTTAAGTGACCGACTCTATTTCACATAAATGACAAATCTTACAATTACAAAGATTTGCTCAGTTGATTAAAAACATAGCTTTACTTGTATTCAGTAAATCTATATTTAGATTTAAAATAAAATAAAAATCATTAAGTATATATTATTTTCTGTAAAATAAAAAGGTGGTATTTGGTTACTCTTTAATCAAATTTAAAATCTAAGTAAAGTATTAATTTCTAGTTTACCTTTAAAGATTTTAACCGCTTAGAAAAAGGATGAAATTGAAAATTGATTCAGAGTATTCAATATACACTCAAAAAGTAAACATAAAAATGAAAACAATGTTTGATAATATAGTTTGATAATATAGTGGATAATTTATTGCTCAAAAAGCTATTACACAATTTTTGTTTTCATGCTCACCACTATGGATCAGTGTGCACAAAAGTAAAAAGTACTGAGTGGAGGCCCTCCTTGGTGGTGCAGCGGGTTAAAGCACAGCACTAAGAAGATAAAGCCACTTCAGCATGAGTTTGATCCCTGGCCCCAGTGTAACCCACTTGGCACGGCAGACCTCTCCTGTTTCTCCTGTTGCTCCCTCAGCAGTGTACTTTGTCAGTGGGCCTGTTCTGCTCCCCATTCTGGCTCTAGTGATTCTTCTTATCACCCCTGTACCTCTGGCCTGTACCCCAGCTCTGTATGCATAAATAAATAAACCTTTTTCAAAAATGAAGAGTGTCACATCTGTCACATCAGCTTTTCTTTATTGACAATAGAAACATTATGGACTCTAGTGAGGACTATAGATGCCTTGGTGGTGGGTGTGGTGTGGTCACAGGCCCCTATGCATTCTGTATTTTAGAATCATATATAGTGTTATAAACTAATGTTACCGTAGTTCAAATATATATGTAAAATGAAAAATTACTGAACAGTAGGAAAGGAGAGTGGAATTAGTAACAGATTCATCATTTTAAGTTTTACCATAGTTGAAAATATTAGTTAGGAAATTCCACAAACACCCATAAGATACTAATCAAAATAAAAACTCTTCATTACCTCTTCTAGTGATTTGCAAGTTGCTCGTGTTTCTAGGATTATTCGAACGTTCTCCTTAATTTTTCTCAGAGCAATCTCAAGTTGATTTGGAAGAGGCAAACTAGGGTCTGGCATTGATCCTGTAACCTCTTCAAACTTTTAAGAAAAACCATTAAAGTAAATGCAGTTGCAGCATTGAAAACATATTATTGTTTACAATTACATGACAAGAAGTGATTAAATCCTACTTATATTTGAAATATACTAAGATAACATCAATTAAAATTCCACCTGGCTTCTGAAAATATTCCTATTGATTGACATTATAGGTCACGTTACTGAGTAGCAAACAGTCTCAATCATTCATACCTTTTGTGCTGCATTCAGTATTTCACTTTGCTGACGGTCAAAAATATCTAGTTGACGTTCCAGCTCAACTTCTCTTTGATCCCATGCCATTTGTCTTTCTTCATGAAACTAAAAAAAGTTTGTGTCAGACACACACAACACATGAACCAGACATACCAAATAACATACATTATCTTATTTAGTCTTCACTACGACCCTTAGAGGTCACTCTTACTGTTTTCATGTTATGGAACAGGAAGTAAGATCAGAGAAGCAAGATCAATTTGCCTAAGATCAAAGTATAGGCTGAACTGGAGTCAGGATTTCATCATCCTGTTCATCCATCACATATCTATCTATCCAATAAATATATAAGTTTATGTATTAGATGCAATACACTGTTCCAAGAAATGTAAACATCATAATCAATAGAACTAAGTCCCTGTCTTCATGAAACATGGGGTAGTGAAGAAGCGACAGTAAATAAACATGTAGTATGTCAGAAGGTGATGAATGATATGGAGAAAAATGAGTCAGGTATTTAGGGACTCTAAAAATAATTAATATAAAGTGAACCTTGTTTTGCTGCACAATTTCTTCTTCTAGGCTGCTAATTGTATGCTCATATTCAGAAATTATATTATTCAAATATTTTATTTCTTCTTTATCCTTGACTAATTCTCGATTTAATCTAAGTTCTTGAAGACGAAGTTCTTCTATTTTCATATGCCAGTTGATTACCTAAAGATCACAAATGTATATGTTATATAAAAAATGTTTCTGCATTAATCTCAATACTTTTAGTTGAAATGGAAATCCTGTAGTAAAATAAAATAAAAGATGCTTTCATAGTTGAGCAACTTGGCAGTTTGTTTTGAATTTCAGTAGACTTTTCTAAGAAAAGGTGGTACCTTAGCATTAAAACATTCTTCAAATTATTTTGGAATAGACGTCACTAACATTCACTCATATATTTGGAAGTTACTGTAAGTATATAATGAAAGCATTGATTCTATGTTCAAAAATGGAAAACCTAAATATTTTTAGTCTAGAGAATATAAAAATTAGTTATAAGATAATTTATTTCTCATTTAACTCCCACCAAATTAGGGTAAAATCAAACCGGGGGACACAGTGGTAGAGGCCTTGGTGGTGGGAGTGGTGAGGAGAAGGCATTCGCGGAGATGGGAGCTATGCCTTTGAGTCACACTCAATATTGTACACCAATGGCATTTCAGTTGAAAATAAATATGGACTCACTACCTGTGAATAAACAGATAATAATTATGAATAAATTTCAACTGATGATCACTAAGCTTAATACTAGCTATAATTAATATTTAATTAACATATGTGTTTTTTTCCATGGTCTTTACAATTCTTTGAATACAATCTAAGCATATCTACCAATGAAGCTTAGAGGCATTCTAGTAGCCAAACTGCTAATTTATAAAATCTAAATTAATAAATTAAATTGGAGGTTTAGGCACTTATTATATATTTTGCACACAGGCACACACTAAGAACTCAAAGTTATTCTGTAATCTTTTGAAAATACTGAGCTTAGAATCAATATTTTTACCTTCTGGGCTCCCCTGGCATCCTTTAAAGTGCTTATTAATTCTTCCAGCCCCTTTAACTTTAATTCCATCTCCAATGTTTTGTTCTCCATATTTTGACGTTCTTGCTGAGATTTTTTCATTTCTTGCATTATCTGAAGTTTGTCATTTTGCAACTGAATCATTGTTTTAGAGAACTTTTCTTGTTGTGCCAAGGGTAATGCTCCGCTAAACTGTCGCCGTAAAGACTGAATAGTCTGGCGAAGATGTTTGGCTCTATTTCTCCCCTCCAAGCGTGAATAATAGAGAGCCTGTTCTTTTTCATCAAGTTTCTGCTCTAAGCGTAAATTACAGGCCTCCGTCTTCTGTAGCTTAGATGCAGTCGACTCCAATTTACAGAGAGCAGTAGCCTCACTGACTTGAAGAGAGACAATTTGTTGGTGCAACTTGGCAATTAGCGCCTTTTCATCTGACTGTGCCTAACATGAAAAGGTACATATTTATATTAAGTTTCAAGTTGTCCCAGTGAAATCTATTGTGTATTTAAAATCAGTTACCAAATAAAATGTAAAACAGTGTGATACATGATTTCCTACAAAAATCAGAGCCTGCTTTAAAACAAATAACCAAAAAAATTGTAAAAGAAATAAAACTAGAATCAACACATTTAAAAGCCAAATTTGATGTATAACTAAGCAACTGTTGACATACTACTTCTTTTTTAAGTTCCACATGTAAATAACAACACTGGTTATTTTGAAATTTTTTAAAATAGTTTTAAATAGCTTGAAAATTTAAAAGATCTTAAATGTGGGAATATTTAAAAGCTACATAAAATACAAGAGAAAATGTTATTATGAAAAATTTACTATTTAACATAACACATTGTTAGGCATTTCAATATTTTTCTGGATTATGAATACCATTTCAAATTCATGGGTTTTCTTTAATAGGGTTACAATTAACAAGAACAGAACCCTCTACTTGAAGTACTCCTTGATTAAGACTATCCTGCTACCTAGCTTGAAATTCAAAGAAAACAATCCACATAGTAGAACCAATACTGCACAGACCTGGTAGTGTAAGAGCTGCATTCTGATGGACTCTACTTCCTTTTCCCTGGACTGCTGCTGTGCATTCAAAATTTCAACTTGTCTTTTGGCAATGTCAGAAATTTCTCTCAGTCTAGGGAACAATAAGATTATTTTAGGAATGATTAAGTACCCTTCTAAGTAAATACCAGAAAACCAAATTTCTAGACACATGGAAAGCCATTCCTTTCTAAGATCACAACTTAGTATGAAACATTATAGCAAGGTTTCCTAATTTTTTTCATGAAACATAATTCTAGGAAAGGTTAACAACTGTTCTGTAAAATAATTCCATTCTCAATACTCCTTCCCCTTGAAAATTTTACTACAAAGTGTCATATTTCAAGTACTGAAAAGTTGTAAAGTTATCATTTCAAACTGTACATAATACAGCATTTTCCAAGTGTATATAGTCAAAGATTACCTCTTGTACACCTGTGCTCATAAAACATTTATCTGTTATTTGGGGGGTAATTTAGAATAAGACATTAGGGTTATCTAATAAAACTGTACAGATAAGAATATAAAAATTTTAAATCCCTAGGTTCCTCAGGTACATAAACCCATTAAAGGGGTTGGGAATGACTGATATCCCCAAAAGGATTTCTCAAGGCTCATCACAAAATGGCTATATCTTAATAGCCATTACAAATAAAAACATATTTACTAATTATTTGTGCTTGGCAGATCAATTTAATGTTCCTCATATTTTCCTATGAAGTGGAACCTAATTACAAAGGAAAGTAAACAGCATCTACCTGCACACAGCATTTATTCCTTACATATATTTTGTGTTCTAAACTAATGTTTCCTCATGCAATATAAAATAATATGACTTCAGAATTATTAAGAAAGATTATGTGACTTAATGTATGTTCAACACCTAGCACCGTACAGATCAGATGCCTGACATATGAAGATTAAATTAAAATCTAAAATTTTTCACTTTATTGCAGCAATTTAAAAAAAAAAAGTAGAAGAGGTATCATAAAACGAGTTTAAATAAAAACACTGTCTCCACCCCCAAAATATTAGTATGTGGAATTGGAAATCATGAGGTCTTGACTCCACATTCAGTTCTTTCTGCAATATTATTGTTGGACTCTGAAAAATGTGACTCTTGAGAGGTAATTTGCTCTTCAATATTATAATGTGTGATTGACTTTTAAAAAGTCAATCTTGTTAATATTATTTAACTTTATTTTTATAAAAAGAAGCTAGTATCAAATATCACCTCTGCAGCATTGTAATTTGTATTCTTAAAGTCAAGTTAGAACAGACACAAGCAATAAAACGACCACAAAGTTTGAATATAAAAGTTTGCACTTACTTTGACACTTCAACTTTTAGTTCCATTTCATTCTTCTCTAATTCTAGAATCCGTTGCCTGTCAGCATCACTTAATGTCTTGCTCACGCTATCAGCTAATTCATCTCTTAACATCTGTTCCACCTTCTGTGCTTCTAAATTGATTTTAGTAAGCTAAGAAAAAGTCACAGAAAATGTTCAGAAACATCAGTTTAGGCAAGGTCTTCTTTCAAATTTAGCTCTACTAAGCTAAATTAGAATACTAAAACTAAAGAAGACCAAGTACTAAAGTTTAGTTTATTTTGCATTAGTCCAGATTTGAATTGGTGTGAAGTACTAAGAATTGACTAAACAAGATAAAATGAGAGAGTAGGAGCAAATTATGGAAAATGGTAAAATGTGAATTCTCCTCTAAATCACTTATGTTTAGGTAACCACAGTGTGATAATATTTGAATCTGATATTCTTAATTTGCTTGGAATGTGGTATATTCATACTTTAATTACATCATCTATAAATCTGAGTTACATTAATTATATTTAGTGATTAGTTACAATAAACAAAATTATATACAAAGAGTTACATTAATTATATTTAGTGATTAGTTACAATAAACAAAATTATATACAAACTTGGAAAAAAATTCAGTTTCTCAGGGGACACAAATATTATGAATGCTACTCCATCATAAACTGTTGAGTAATTATAAACTACATTATTACCAGTTGACTTAATAATTATGACCACATTGAAAAAGTTTAAAGCCTCCTAATAGTGTGCAAAGTCCCAAAGACAGACAAATTCTACTTTATTTTCTGCAATAGCTCACCCTCCTGCCTCCAAATAGTGTCTGGTATGAAATAAGCACTCAATAAATATTGGCAAAATTAAGAGCTGTTCGGGGGAGGCAATTCCATTAATAAATAACATATTTTGCATATTAAATAATGTTGGTGAGAAATAGAATATGAATTAATTCATAGAAAACACTGCTTTCTTTAAAAATATTTGATTTGAAAACACATCATTTTCCATGACATGAAACACAAACACCATATTAATAATCTACTTCAGAGATACAGACAAACCTCTTACAGAAAACACTGTCTACCAGAACGAATTCTTTACACTCTAGTACAAGAATTGTAATGTCAAACCTCAGCAAATTTGGTTTCCAATTCAAAATTACGTTCTTCCATTTGCTTTAATGAAGTCCTTATGTGTTCATACATTTTTTGAGAATGTTCAGCCCGCTGCCTTTCGTTTAATTCCTTCATCTCCAGCATAGTGATTTTTTTTGAAATAGAAACAATCTCACTGTTGGTTATTGATTTTTTTGCCTTATCCATGTTAGATTCATTTCCTACATGCAACAATACTTATGTCAATCTCATACATACTGTTCTTATCAAAATTATATCCCATATATTTTAGATTTCAGATGTTATATATAGAGGCAGTTTGGTTGGTGGAACATACATGAAACTTGTCAAATATGAATGACCTAGATTCTGGTCTTAGTTCTGTTACTTTCCTGATTGTATGATGCTTGTGATTCTTCATTAGTCAAATGATATAAAAAATATTCCTCATAAGACTATTGAAATAACGATGCAAAAGATGTTATGTAGTATCACATGTAGAGAATCAAAACAAGGTAAAATATTTTGTTAAGTGAAAGAAGGAAAAATGAGAAGTAAAATGGTAAGTAAAACTATTTTGTTAATGTAAGTGTCATGACTATTTTTAAAGTTTCATAAAGTCAAGCTAGAAAGTAAAACCTGAAGCCAATATCTATTATACATAGGGAGAAAGTACAAACAATTAAACAATTTGGTGTCTGCCTCATTTTGTTCTGTATGTATCTTTTAATAAAATAATTAACAGTACCAGATTACTGAAAGAGCTAAAAGTATTAGCAAACCAATCCATTAGAGTCACAGACTTAATCAGACAACCCTAAACGCCATAAGTGAAAGAAAACAAAATTCACTAATTATAAGTCTCCAAAGAACATGAAATTTCTTCTCCAGTCTACTCTATGCTAAACCCTGACAAGGAAGCTTAGAGGCACATTAATGGAGCTGTAGCGGACCAGCCATCTGCATGGTCTCGTGTTTGTGAGTTTTATTAGCAGTTAAAAACAACAGTCCAATGACAACCAATTTCTACGTTGAGAAAACCAACCTAGTGATCATTTAAACAAAGATGTTAGGACAACAGGAAATAAATGTTTTTAAAACTTCAGTGATATAAAATCACACATTTAGTAGAAATTAAGCTATTTCAAAATTAAGACATTTATATAGGGAATTCAGCACTTCCTGAGTGAGCCTACTAAAACTGTATGTAATATCTTCTTTATATCTTAGCTTAAATATGATTTTTCTTTCATGTAGAAGCTATCTGGAAGTCAACATACTTTTCATCTCTTAAAAAATTAAAAGCTCTATTTCTAAAAGTGGCTTATTTAGACTTTCCAACATTAGGTCGCTCTATGTCTTAGCTGCAAATTAAAAAAAAAAATCACTACCTAGTAAAACCTGGATTAGAGATAGAGTTCTAGCTCTGGAAGATAAAAACAGTATCCAAAGCATCAAATTTATTTGAAAATTATAAAGCACATGCTAATGATATAAAATTATCTTAATGTTGTAAACAAAGATAAACATTTGAAAAACTAACATGCATTCTCCGACAGGAGTTTAAAAAATTTTAATACCCTCTGGGCCAGGAATATGTTAAGATATATAAAGATGTTCAATGCAGCACTATAGGCAATAGCAAATATAAAAAAGCTAGTAATTTAATCACTCACAGTAGAACAGCAGATGTATATTTATAACTTATCAAAACTATGATGAATAGAATATGAAAATGTTTTTGATATCTACATGAAAACAGAATTTAATGACACTCTTACTATGAAGTATCTAAAATGTATAAGCATACAAAAGCTAATACAAAATATAGTGTATTATTTTGTAACTATAGACAATAGAATTTTTTTAATTTTCCTTGATGTTTTATGGTGGTCTTTTAATTTAAAAATATAAATTGAAGTTAACCCAGGATAACTTATACATAATAAAATATCATAATACTATTAAAAACAGGAATTTCAAAATTATCATGAGTCTTGATTGCTAAATGATTCAAAATGCCAAATGCTCAGTTACAAATTTTAAGCATATGTAACTTCATTAGGAACAAATCTAGCATAAGAAACTAAAAACAAATATTCATAGATTAGTACAAGTACTACCTGCTAAATTAAACTTTTTGGCAGAGTTTACTTTTAAGAAATATTTCCTTCTCTTCTTGTATAGAAAAGGGGCTTTGTAGGTAAAATATTAACTGTTATGCATTATGCATCATCAATGTACAATACTAACCTAACTTAGTTTCTTGTTCCCAAGCTTGTTCAATAGTGTGAAGTTTTTCCTTGGTAATCTCTAGTTCTTTATTTATAGATTCCATTTGTTCTTTTAGGGATGCATTTTCACACTGAATAAGACAGAAACATCACTGAGAAACTCTATTGTAAATCAGACTAAGAGCACAGAAGCAACATTGTCTTACCTTTATTAATATTCTCTAAAACTGCACAATCTATTTTTTTAATAAAATTAGAAGCCCCCCCCCACTTATACATGAAACACCATTTTAAAATATCATTCCAATGATAGTATCATTAAAAAGAATAACACAAAGTACATAAGCTCCTACTTTTCACAAACATTGTTTTGCCTACTGTAAAAGATAGGGAGGTCAAATGGTCAGAAGAGAATGGTTCCAGGCCATATTCACACTGTTTTAATAAAACTTAAGATATTCCATTCTACTCTGTAGCATCTCCTCAGAATAAAAATGGGAATTTGCTAAGCTCGCTGATGGAAGAGTCATTAATATCTCACCCATTCCTAGCTACAACCATTCAAGGGACAGAAATCTATGAAAGAAAAATATACAGTGGAGTCAGGAGTAAGAAAAAAGCATAGGTACTTGTTGATAATCCTCCTTTGATTATCATATCTAATATGCTCCATGAATAATATGCTCCATGAATAATATGCTCCACTCATTTAAAATGCCTGGTGGAGAGAAGTTTAATTCAGTTGAATCATGAAAGTGGGCTAAGGAGGATAACCTGAATAAAGTTCTCCAGAAGTCATTCCACACCTGTAAATAAGACATTACCAAAGAAGAGTAGCTAATAATGCAAAGCTCAAAATCATATAAGCTTACCTCTAAGTGTTCCAAGTTATTTGTTCTTTGAACAAGCATATTATCTTTTTGTAAAAGGTCCCTGTACTTAGCAGTGAGGTCATTATATTGCTTATTGGCCAACTCTAGTTCAGACAGAGAGACGCTATTATCTATAACCTTCTGGAGAGCTGCAATCTTGAAGACAGCCATTTCCTATGTAAATAAGAAAGAACAAGTTAGGTTGGTGTAATTTTTCTCATGAAATACTCACCATTTTTGAGGATATACTTAAAAGAAAAACTTTCCTTTTAAAAGAAATAATATTGGAAATTTTTAATTATAATAAAAATAAATGGAATTATTTTATAGTCCATCATAATTAAATCAAATTCAGTTAACTTGAGGAAAGCTAAGCAGCAAAAAAAAAAAAAAAAAGAAAAGAAAAAGTATTTTTGATGGGTTTTCCAAATCTCTGAGATTAAAAAACATAAAAATTTATTTTTTGACAATAGAATCACAGAATTAATATCAATACAGATTAACTTTTACAGCTTAACTATTTCTGCATATTACCAGACATTCTATCTCTTAAAGTGAAGCAATATAAAGTAGTTTTTAAAAGTATAAAACATTGCTGTGTGTACATGAATATAAAGAAGACTTCAGAGCTAAGTTTTAGGGACTACAATGGATAGAGGTAGATGTAAACTTAAACACACAAATCAATATTTTTTCAGAAAAAAAAAAGTCCACAAAAGAATCTAAATTTACTTATTGAAATTAACAGTCAATATAATGCAGAATTCTTGAGTGGATTCTGGAATAAGTGAGGACATTTGAATATGGACAGTATAACAGATAAGGGAATTAATACAATTTTGGTAGGTGTGACACAGTTTCTGGTTATGTACACACAAAAAAGTTTATTTTATAGAGATGCACACTAAAATATTTAGAGGTAAATGTCTATAATACATATCACTACAAAAAAGAGATGAAACAATTATAGTAGAATGCAATAAATGTTAACTATTAATCAGGGTGAAAAATCTATTGTACCTTATTTTCTTTTTTACATTTGAAAATTTTCAGAGGTGAAGAAAAAAAATATGTACCTTAAATCGTTGCAAATGTCCAATTTTTTCACCAACTTCAGCTTCCATTGACATTAACTCATTCTTCTGTTTCCCATTTTCTTTTCTAAGCTGACGTTCCATTTCTACTAAAGTAGTATACTGCCTTATGAGTGACTTTTCATTCACTTGCAAGACTGTGATTTTTCTACTGTTTTCTGAAAATGCTTTTTTCATTTCATCTGTATCCATCTGAAGAGCACTGAGCAAATTCTGTACAAAGATGCATTTCATTAGTTGTTGAATATAGCTAATATAGTTTGTTCAATATTATATAGTGATTTTCAAAGTGTTTTACTTACATTGTATTCTTTTACTTTTATAGCATCTTGTTGGATTTGATCCTCAAGTTTTTTCTTTTCCATTTTCATAGTTTCAGAGTCTGTTTTCCAGGTCTCCTTTTCACTTAAAAAAATAAAAATAACCCCACTAGACTAATGAAATAATAAATAGTGGTAACTATAGGTTATGAAGTTTAAATTTTTCATAATATAAGAGCTATCATAGCTATGACTCATCAGACAACATAAGAAGTCAAGTCCATGCTAAAAGGATGTAATGTAAAAGTAATATTTTCCTTTAATAATTACAAGATGAAATTATTTTATCAAATTACTTTCATTATTCCCTGAATCATCACCTTAGAATTGTAACAATAAACTATCTGACATTTAATACTGTAGTATTTATAAAAAGGAGAGTAAGATGAAGAAAGTCCATAACCTAAGCTAATACTGGAAATAAAGCCTCAGAATTCTGACACTACTCTTCTGTTTGGCTGTTAAATATTTGCACATTATATAAAAGAGAAAGAAATTTAAATTATTAGATATAATAAATGTCCTGGAATCTACTACTGCCTACCTAAGAGACATACCATAATCATCTGCTTGACATATCCCAATTATAGGGGCATCAACATCATCATCTTTGCTACTCAGTAGCTCAGAACTGGACATATGAGTTGGACAGTTCATTAGCCCTATTCTGACTAGTGAGATCTGCACCTTAGTCTGCCAGAAGCCTCTGAAAAACATGTTATCTGAAACTAAAAAGTTATGTGTAAAAAATGCCTCTGCCCTGTGGTGGTGGCATCTATTATAAACTACAGTAGGAGTATTGACCACCCATAAATAGGACCGACTCTATAATTAACTTTAGGTTTCTGTTTAAATCACCTTTGATTTGATATTCTAATTACTAAGGACATTATTCTATTGATGTAAACAAAATCAGAGACAAGGAGAAGCATTTTAGTTTCTTATGAAAATATGAGTAATGCTGGCAGTGATGAAGAAGATGATACTAGCAGCTGACATTTACAAAATGTTCATATATAAGCATTTTCATAGAATTAATTTCTTTTATAACTCTTATATAAATATATATATATATATATGTACTATCAGAATCTTATAGATAAGAAAACTAAGATACAAAGTAGAGAGAAAGAAAGAGGAAAGACTAACACAAAATATGTAAGTACTTTTACATTATTTTCATCATGAATAAGAATGTGCTACAATTATATTTATAATGCTATGTTAATAACTATACCTTAGATATTCTTTATATAATAAGCTTTGTTGATGACGAATTACTGCAAATTTTCTGTTATAATCCTCAAGAGAATCTTCTAAATTCTTTAAATTCTTTTCTTTATATTCTAGTTCCTAAAAATTATTTAGAAATAAAAATGAGAAAGCATTAGAACACACTTTTATGCCATTTGCAGCACCCTGGATGGTGCTGGAGGGGTTTATGCAAAGTGAAATCACTCAGAAGACAAATAACAGATGGCATTCCTTATATGAAGAACATAGAGAAACTAAGATTCATATAAAACCAAACTGAAAGCTAATCCTTGAAAACTGACTGTAGAACGGGACAACCAAAAGGGGAGGAAAAAGAGGAGGGACAAGAACAAAGGCAGGAAGGAACACAGGGGTCCATGGTGGTGGACTATGAATTCTTTGGCGATGGTGCGCTAATAGCAACCAGGTGACAACAGGGGATCGGATCCTACTCTGCTATAATGCAAACAGTGACGTAAACCAATGTTAATGCAACATTCAAAAATATTTAATAAATAAGTTCAAAGGCTAAACTCAAATTCAAACAAAATGATAAAAAACCATCAAAAGAGAACTGTCACTATTTCTATAAGCAACAAGGATCACTTCTTTTTGAACATCTTTAGTTTACAAAACAGGCGAAATTATTTTTATTGTATGGATAGTTGTAGTAACCACACAAATTACCAGACAGCTACAACCTTACCTCTAGTCTCTCATTCCCACAAATCCTTTTGTGAACCCATATAATCATGCCTCCACTCAGTTTATCCTTCCAATTATTTCATTTTTAAGATGAGAAGTTGTAACTTAGAAAGATTAAGTAACTGATTTAACATTAAGAAATTCACTAGTCAAGCTTTTTGCCAGGTACTTGACTTCTCTACAGAGCCAACATCTGAGGTGCAGTTTGTCTCTGGGACTCTGCTACTTATTCTGGGAGGTCTCATAAGCCTGTCACCGTCAGTGCTACTCTGGACAGGCTTTCATATTCCCAGTTGATGCTCTCTAATTTACCACTGTTCTCAGGCCTTTTTTATATAATGCTAAAAAAACATGAATTTTATCTCAAGCAACATGACAATGCCATATTGTTTGTTGACACTGTTCCCACAATGCTAAAGAGAAATGATACAGCACTAAAATTTACAAGTTTAATGTAATTAACTATAAATATAACATGATTTAAAAAGTAATATTCTATTACATAGCTAAGGATGTGACTTTCTGACTTAGAAAACTTACAAATTTCAATATTCAGAAATGCTGATGTAATTTCCAAATACAAAAGGAAGTATTTGATGATAATCATTATTCAAGTATATTCACATATGGATCATATAAGAGGAAAACAGTAGCGCTTATAATTATAAATATAGTTTTAACTATCCTAACACTTTTGTAATAGTATTTGTAACATGATAATAAGGTCTTCATATGATAATAAGGTCTTCATATTTTAGATATAAAGAAAAGCTGTCTCACATTAGGCCATGCATAATTACCATGATATAGACAGCAAAACCTAGAAACAAATCTAGAGCAAGCATCATCCATTTTAATTTGCTGGTGGATTAATTAGTAAAGGAAAGAGACAAATAAAAGAAAATTTGACTTAAAACCTTTTTTTTTTAACAGTTTGAATATAAAAAGAGAATAATTTTAATCATTTTACTAAAATAGCTGCTCAGATTTTATTCACTTGAGTTGTTTTCCCAACCAGCAACAAATAAAAGTGATCATCTTATTTACACATTACGACCTAATAGTACCCACATGCTATTCTACTGGTCGGTCACATATTTCATATAAATGACACACACAACAAGAATGTAATACACACCCCATGAAGATGATGGTATAAACTGATCTTATTCATGATATTCCATTTAGCATGAAAATCCATTAAAATATATCTCATTGTTAATATTTTGGAAACTGAAGTTACATGAAGACTAAGTTAAATACAATATTAATGCTTTCTGTTATTTCCATGTAAATTCTTCAGTACCTGTAACAGGCGTATCAAATACTCATTCTGTGCATTAATGATGTTGGCACTAGATGGTGCTATCCCTTCAGGTAAGTCTATTCCTTTAAAAACAATATTTGATTCTTTGGATTTCCGTAAGAGCTCGGTTTCTTTTTCAAGATGATCTATCTGGAAACAAACAATTCAGGAATGAGACTCACATTCTTTACATCCAAAGAGTCACAAATTTAAAAGTAGTAACCTAATTCTTACTGAATATATTTTAAAAGTATATGTATATTAATTCCTTGCCAGGAATTAATTAAACCACACTTTAATTTCTATTTAGAAATGCTTAGAGATAAACTTTGATTCTTACAATTTTTTTTAATAAATAAGGCTTATTTGTCTTTTATACAAGACAGTCTAAGTAGGAGCTATCTTGATATTGAAAGAATCCACTAGATACTTCTATCAGTCATTTAAAATAACTGAAAGTTTCACATTAAGTGTATGTTCATAAGCTAGAATTGTTTTTATCTAATAAAACTCTCACCTTTAAATTTGCTTTTGCCAACTGCTGAGAATAATTCATAGCCTCCTTCCGAGATTCCCTGAGCTCTTGTCTTAATTCTTCATTCCTCCCAGTAAGTTGATCAACTTGAGCTTTCAAATGAAGATTGGCATCAAAGATTCCTTCTGCATTTTTTGATTCTATGGCCTAATATATTTAAATTAGGAAATGTGAAGAAAAACACTTAAGTCCTAGTAAAGGCAAATATACTTATAAATAAAATTGAAACATGCATTTTACTATCTCCACTGTATAACAAAAAAAGATGCCAAGCCTATTTGTTATTCATGATTTTAAATTTTCAAAATTCTAACTTAATTTACATCAGTATTGCTAAGTGTAACAACTGAACATTAGCAAACATTTACCTACTTTCTAGTAGACTGGTACATTGGAAAATAAATGGATAGGTGTAACATGACCGGGGCTCAGTGGTCCTTTGCATGTTAGTATCAAATGATTTTCTTGACTCAAAAAGTTGTAACAGACCCATTATGAACAGCAGCACAAGTAAAAAGTAAAGAGTCAAGAAATTCAGCATACCTCAAACAAGAGATCAATGCACAATCATATCTACAAATGTATGTGCACATAAACACATGCACAGCAAATCACTTTATAGTAAACATAAAGTTTTGAAAAAAACCTGAGAAGATACACATATCACATAGAGAGGAACCATGACATCATGACAGTAAATATCTTAGCAGAGACTATAGAGACCAACAGACAGTGAAACAAGATCTTTACAGTGATAAAGCAACCAAAATATAAACCATTAATAAGAAGAGATATAACTTACATTAACTAGTCTTTCAAGACTAGGGATAATTAGAGAAGTTTCTCCTCCTTTAACATCAGGATCTTTCTGCATTTCTTTAATAGCTTGCAATATTTCTTTCATACCTTCTTCAAGTTGCTTATTTTCTTCAACCAATTCTTTTACTAAAATGACATGTTTTTCCCACAAATGAAAAGATGTTTTCACAATTTACACTATTCTTACAGATGACAAATAATAACATATAGGAAAAATATTTCATTTGTAAAATGCAAATGTAAATATAGAAAAAATTCAACTATAAAGTTCAGTGTGTGAGAAGTTAACAGGCATACTGATTTGAATGATGTTCCTATAAAAATATTATTTATATATCATAACTAAATAAATTAAAAGCATATGCTGCCTTCACTTATATTATCTTATAAATCTGTTTTGCTAACTTCACTTTAATTAGAAAAAAAAGAAAAACTATTTATTGCTACAGGCATTTACTTTAATAACATTCTCTGAAAATAAATTTGACAAATCAAATGGATCAATGAAGACTAGAAATCTATCTATTATAGATGTACACAGGTCTAAAACATACAAGAAAATATAGGATGCATTACAGTTCTTTCAGACATGTAGGATAAATACACACTGAAAAATAAGTGGTAACTTACATTTATTCTGAAATTTGACTACTACTGTTTTACTTCTTTCTAAATCTCTTTCCTTTTCAGTTAGCTCTTTTGAAAGAATTTCATTCTAAAAAAAATTTAAAAAAACTTTTAGAAAATATTACAGTTGTCTATAGTCGGAAGTATTTTAAAAAATTGATCCATTAAGGTACAATACACCAAAAACAAGCTGTAGAGACACTGTGGCAACCATAACAATAAAATCAAAAGGTTAAACAGATGTTGATTATCTCCCCCCTGCCTCCCTCTACTAAGTGACACGTGGCAAATGCAGACAATGAAAGTTTGTGCCTTTATTACCAGTCTTCTCTTTAATGTTCTGCCTTTACAGTACCTGTTCTGCCTGGCTTCTGTGATGTTCAAGCTCTCTTTCTGCATTTCTACTCTGTGCTTCTTTAATCAATAAATCCTGTGCTATGGCTTCATTCTAAAAAAAGTTAATTAGGCATGTCAATGGATTCATAGCAAGTGAATTGTATTTTAGATTTTTTAAAAAGTAGAGTATGTGTAAAGTATTGTTAATGATCTTAAAATTTTTAGAGAACTTATAATTATTACACAAGGAAAAAAAAAATTAGTAAAAGTAGGAAGGCAATTTGGAGGAAAGCTCACCTGAGATCTAAGAAATACTAGTTCTCTCCGTAGCTGGTCTATAAGATTTTCAAGTGGATCTATCTGAGATAATTTTGATTGTACAATAACTGGCACAGGGTCTGAAAGATTAACTTCAAATTTACTTTTCAAAATCTCTGTCTGTAAGGGCACTTCACTTCTTTTTATATCTTCTTTCAAATTGGTTTCAGCATATTTTACTTGGTTATAAGTCTTTTCATCTTCTGATGTTGCTACTTGTGATTTATCCATGTCAGCTCTATTAACATGAATTTGTTGAGAAAATATTGTAGATTTTTGCCTAAGTGATAACTTCTGCAGTAAGTCTGAAGCTGCTGTTAAGGCTTGTTCAGCTGATTCACTTTTTTGTGTGAAATGAATGTTCCCAAGTGCCTGATGGCTTCTTGACTCTTTCTTCATAGACTCATCAGAAAAAGAGTACAAGTACTCATTTATGTCGTCATGACTCTCCCTACTAAAGAGATTGACTAATGATTCTAGATTTCTTAGAGATTGTAGACAGGGTGCTTTAAAAATCTCTCTTATTGTAATAGTTCCTGGAGGTGAATAGTTATCTTTTACTTGTATAGATGAGGACTGTCTACTTAAAGAGGCAATAGGATTCATTTCACTTTCTACACTGTGATGAATTTCAGACTGTATTGACAATGATTCTGTGGTCACATTCTCCTGTGGTTCATTCTCATATGACTGTAGAATACTGAGTGACGGTCTCTTATGCAGCAGTTCTATTTTATCTGACCTCCTAATCTGCATTTAGAGTAAATAATGTCTTGTTAATCAATCTTTGGATCAACACGTTATTTAAAATAAGACAACAACTATAAAAAAGTAATGTCTAAACTGAGATAAAGTGGGTAGAAATAAAAGAAGTGATGAAAACTTTTTATTATTCTTTTATCATACTTCACTGCTCACCTTTGCTTGTGTTTCACTCAGATTTTTGAGGTTCATAAAATCAAGTTTTCTTTCTTCTAGTCTATTCTCTTGAGAATAATTTTCAGTTAGGCTCATATTCTCAACATTTAAACCTATATATGAAGGAATTAACAATTAGAACCACAAAAAAACTCTAATTCTAATATTTTATTCTTTAAAACTATAATCAAGTTTTAACTACAGGTAAAAGAATAATCTACAAAAATCCTTACTCCACATATAGACTTCACAATGTTTTGTTCTACTCACTTTAAGATATTAACAAGAAAGTAATGAAAGTGAATTTTATCTTTCTTATCAGTTTTTGCCCATTCTGCATAGACTTTACTAGTAAGCACTAAAATAGCATAAAGAAACAAAAATCATGATGATGGGTAAGCTCATTAACATACTAATAAAATATGAAGTGTATCCCTTCTAGACAATTTTTAAGGTATTATCAAAAACAAACAAAACATCTGTTACTCAGATACCTGCTGACTATGGCCAAATAATAAATCGTTCCTTTATATGGTTTCCCTGGAAATGGGATGCAATTTCTATGATGAAACTTAACTTCTCCTGATAGCAAGGTAAACTCACCCAATGTGAATTTTATCAATGTAACATTACTTTCACTTAGTATAGAACATTTATAATGTTTTAAAGGGAGAGAACGACAGAAAAGGAAAATATTGAAAAAATTACGAAGTTCTATTATTAATTACATCGTATTTGGATTGTACAGAAATTAATGGGTACTGTGAATTTTTCAAAAGTATATAATTCTAAAGATAAAGATTGGTTTTTGTTTACTAGCTTAATTATTAATTATTATTATTATTTTTTTACTTATTTCAGATGTTAGGCTGAATCCAATGTCATTGGGTCATTATTTCCACACATTAAGCTTACAAGTAGAACCAGGAAAATGTAATGATAATATTCTCAGACCAAAAAATTCAGATCTCAGACCCTCCCTGGTGGCGCAGTGGCTTAAAGCACTGAACCATGAAGCTAAAGCCACTTCAACATGAGTTCGATTCCCGCCCCAGAGGTGACCACATAGCGTGGCAGACCTCTCCTGACCTGCCCGCTGCTCCCCTCAGCAGTGTACTTCCTCAGTCAGCTTGTTCTGCTCCC